ACAGTTCATTCTTTCCATCTTATGCAAAAATCTAAATTCTCTATAGATAAATGTAACCACCTTTGTATATAATAGTGACACTGTCTGATGGTTTTCATAGAGACAAGACAGTAATAGAGAAAGTACTGAACTTCTTTACTCAAGACAAAAAAAAAGAGAGATTAAGAGGAAATGGTTGCAGTCCAGTCTGTGATGTAATGAAAAATGACCATTTTAGTAAATAAAACACATTTATAAGGCTATATACAGCAAGTTTTCATGTAGAGCTTAATTCTGTATGTGCACCATTATTTTAGTGATGCATACTTGGGCTTGCATGGCAGTCAGAACATAAGCATTTTCAGGGAAATACTCAGATATGGTAAACATCAGTGTGTCTGAATTATAAAGCATAAACCTGTCACATCCTGAGGTCGCTTACTGCATACCACAAGTAACTCTGAAGAGCTGTCGAAAGGCACATTTTTCCCTGCTTTCACTTTCACTTAAATTTCTTCACATTATCATTTCCCAGAATGCCTTTCTTCGATCCGCAGAGAACAGGCATGAACTTGTTGCATCCAGTGGAGTTACGTATACTATATGTGTGGGTAGGAGCTGCAATAACAATAGAGATAGTAAGAGCCAGAGAGCAGAATTTTTCCACTCAAGAAAAAATGAGTCACACTCCTACTCAAAACACAGCCAGCCTTGTGATATGGTGTGGATGAGAGGGAGCCATCAGGAGTTCTCTCTTGGACATTTGTAGGGAACAATGCAAAATGTGCTGGATGCATTTGTGGTTGGCTGTCGACACATTCCTTGTTGTATTTAATAGCACATCTTACATGCTATAAATACTGATTATGCTAAGATGCTGAAAGAGGTGGAAAGTAAGTTCTTGTAAGGGTCCAGTGAAGCAAAGATAACAGTAGGCACGAGGCAGAGTGATAGCTAGAGGTAGTCGTAATTGTACTGTCATAGTTGTATATATGTATGCATGTGTGTGTGTGTGCGTGTGTGTGTATGTATGTGTGTATGTGTGTGTGTATATGTATGTGTGTGTGTGTGTGTGTGTGTGTGTGTATGTATGTATGTAAGTTTTCTCCAGTGGGGCATTTCTGTCAAAAATAAACACAAACATTTTGGCTGGAACAGTTCTGTATGCAGGAGGCCAAGTAAAAGGAAAAACACATCATAAGTGGACCTAACGACATGATTGGCCAAAAAAATCAACACATTTATGCTAATATGAGTTTAGCAGGGTATCATTAAAATGAAGAGAAGTCAAATACATGAATGGGACACCAATTATCAGTTTTATCCTTAAATGTGACAGTGTAAGAATATCCAGGAAATCACAGTTCTCCCAGTGTATTTTACTCTCCCATCCATTACCACTCTCTAGCTGGCAGCACCAATAAAAGTCTACTGCATTATGTCATTGCCCATTCAGAGGGGTCCTTGGGGCATGCATGCGGGCAACCTGCTTTGTTCATTTGAAGGGAAATCTGCCTCTGAAAAAAATAAAACAAAAGCACCTATTCAACTGGGCACCAGGTAATTGAGATATGAGATTTTCTGATTTGGGGCAGCTTACTCATCTATTCACAGAAAAAAATTCACTTAGTTTGTCCTTCTTACTTGCAGAGACTTGCTGTTGCTTCACAAATGCTTGAGGACATTATGCATGTTCGAAGTAACACAGATTTCTTGTACAGACAAAGACCTCACACTTCTTATCATGTTATCTTGTAGCAAAATGTTTGCTATCTTAGTCAAGGATTTGTTACAACCTGCAAAGATGCTTAACAGATTGGCTTGATAGCATTTAACAAGCAATAAAGCAAGGATTAGGACAATGAAATTAATTTGTGCAAAACCAGTGAGACCAAGAGCTTATGTCATTAACATAGCCTTAAGATCAAAGATTATTTTTCCCTGAGATACCTCACATCCATAATAACTAAATCAATTCATTATATTATCCAAAAATAATCAAGAAATGTACACACATCTTATCTACCTATAAGATATTATATCATAATATCATATATTATTATAAATATTAATCAATTGTTTTGGTATAGGCTCCAGCCCCCTACAAAATGCAAAAAAATGGCCTACCTACAAAAAATAGTTGCAAAAGTTACCAAACAAAATTGAGACAAAATAAGGATATAGATAGATATAGATAATACTTTATTTATCCTGCAGGAAATTCATTTTTCAGGCAGCACAGTGATACATAAAAGAAGAACATCAGTAATTCAAATTTATAGCATTAGTTGTATAGGATATGGTCAGTGTTTGATAAGAGTTAGATTATGCTCTTTTATAAGACAGATATACCTCACCCAGTGGTCATGTGCTCTTTGTGCTGGTACCAAGCAAAGAAAAATGGAGAAAACTGCAACTAAAAAACAAGCATTTAATATAAAACATAAATGAATCACTGTATACTAAGACAGCAAATATAACAATAAATTAAAGGACTTAAGTTGACATCTTACTACTATAACAATTTTTATGGCAACGCTTAGTAAATATGACAGCACAGAGCTAGAGCCAGCAGGCAGTGGAGAGGAATCCTGTAAACTGGTCCAGACTAAATACCCGAGCACTATTACCGCAATTCAAGGAAGGCATCTGGACGCAGTAATGCTGTTTTCCCCTTTAACTCCCATTCACTTTGACGGCAAATGATGTCGGCACTGCCAGGCCTGGAATCTGCATCGGCTGCCAGCCAGAGTGAGTTGTGAATGGGGAGCACACAGACACAAACACATTGTATAATAAGCTCCTGTAATGATGTCTAGTTTACGTTTTAACATAGGAATTCTACCCATACTCCCATGTGTGAACACTTACTGTAGTAACTATGCTATGAATAAAGCTCTGTGCTAGTTGACTGTTATTGCAAAAGCATTTAAATTACTGCTGCACAATTTATTTGAAATTAAGAGGATTATATTGAGTATTCCTTTAATGAAAAATTGCTGACAAAGATTTAAAAGGCTAAATTTCTCAAATCATGTCTTGCACTATAAATCTGGATTACACAGGAAAGGATGGACCAGACAAGGTCTAAGGCGGGACAACAAAACAAAGATCAAGCCTTATCTATGACTAAAAGATGTACTGTATCTCCATGAAGACAAACAGATGGTGCTGCAATACAATTAACAGGTCAAATATGTGGAAAAGCAAGCCTCAAGATATTTTTTCAGTATTAATGAAATATGTGTTTAATGCAATGCTGTGGAACATTACAGGGGAATCCATAGCGATACACATGTGGCAAAACCAGCATCTTTTTTCAATGAATACATTTCCATATTATATTATAATATGAATTAATAAAGTAAAGTCTATTACTGATCTATACGATACCAGACATCCATAACAGCAAGATAAATGTCCAAAGGTTTCCTCTAAATTGCTATAGCCCCTCCATTTGCACAGCCTCATGTCATTACTGCCCCTTTGACATGGTTAACAGGGGATGTCAGATGATGCTCAGATGACCATCCTGGATTAGCTGTTTTCCCTCCTCACCATCATCTCCTTTATCACTGCCCATGTTAAAGGCTCCACAGGAAGACAGAGCTCGGATGGTAGTAGCCCACTTAGTTTGTTATGTAATGTTCAATTTGATTAAATTGCTTATGGACTGCATGTTTTTCATGAGTGTAATGCTGCAGTTTGAATTTGTGTAAGAGACTGCATAGTCAACAAGACCATGCATAATTTTAATTGTGAGTTCAGACCTTTTATATACAGTAACCTAGGCTATGTTTTGGGACATTAATCAACATCAACGTGTTTACCCCACTGTAATGCCTTTGTATAAGCTTAATACAAAGTACGATTGTACAAAAGTGTGTGGACTGACCAACCAACAGTTTAAACAGATTCTTCCTAGATGCTGGTGAACCACAGAAGAGTTTCTTATTCTCTTACAGTTTATGTGAACTAAAACTTGCACTACACTTGTCATAGTGCAATGGGAGAGTAACTTTGGCACTAGGCCTGTAAGATAAAACCACTAATGATTCAGGACCTAAGGACACAACCAATAATACAACTGTAGCAAGCTGTAACAAATGAGACCCACCCTGTCAAGCAATGGTTCTAGGTGCAGCTCACAAGTGCGTTTCCCACGAGTTAGTCAGTTTGAATTAGACATATTAGTAGGCTACAGCTAGCAGCCGAAACATAGACCTTGTAGGTTCATATTTATGGTCACTGAGTGTAGGCTAAGGGTTATTGATATAACCTATGAATAAAGCCACCAAATTCATGATTATTTATGAATAGTCTAATTAGAAATTAACTTCCACTATCTCTCTCCATTTGCTCATCTTTAGAGTCATTTTCATGGGGTCACTCACTGCATGCCTAGCCTGGTAGCCCCTGGTAATTCTCTTTTGTCTCACAGCGATCCTACCTTATACAAGTGTTTCTTAACAATGTCATGCTGCTATTAGGGGCTACAGTATTTGCAACTGCACATGTGGCCTTCACGGCACAGCGATCGACCAATCCCATGCATTTAGCCACTTGTGGATACCAATCACGTAGCCAATAGGCAAGAGAGATCACAAAAACACATGTCCCTTTGCTCCAAGGACTGACCTTAAAAACAGAGAAAGACCAGGGATCAATTCAAAGCTTCAGCGTTTGCCACAGCATGTAAAACGTTGCGAAAGAGCGCATTCATTTGCACGGACAGCGAAAGCGGATGTGGGAGGCAACCCCCGCCTCCTCTCCGCGGTTGTTCTTGCATGGGCTATGCGGTGGGAAAACGCTGTCAAGAACATCACGGACGACTCTGATGTCAGGGCTGCCATATACAAGAGGAGAGGCGTTTCCCACCGCGAGAATAGCTCTTGTAACAATGCATAAGGTCCCCCCCTCACTGTTGCATCTGGACGTAGGCTATAACTGCTCCCCAACAAACCCACAATATCTTCAATGTGCAGCGCCAATTTGCTATCATTTGCACTTTTTATACTCACCCTCCCTGGCTTTCAGCAGTACAGTGTTGGCTACAATGTTCTCCAGCTCCATCAAAAACGGTCCTAAATGCTGGGGTTTGTGTAAGGAGGCGTCTGCAGCAAATTAAAATAAGCGTCCTTGAGCGAGTAAGGTACTTTTAATCCTCTTCTTCGGTATCTGAATCAAAATCTCGCCTATCAAAGCCGTAAGGAATGAAACAGGATGCGATAGGTTTGCTTGCAATAGAAGCTTTGCATCGTTCTTCTTGTTGTCGGCTGGATGTGCGGCGGCGGCGCATTTCTACTCCAATCCCCCCAAAACCTTTCCATACGTGATTTGGCAGCGGATGCCCCTTTTCCAGATACGCAAAAGGGAAATCAAGTCAAATACTTGGACATAAACACACGTCTACAGAAAAAAACGTGCTCTTGACAGTAGGAATATACCAGGTTAGTGGCAGCTTTGCATTACACCAGTTGGGGTTGGCTGAGTCCACAAGAGCCAGAAGAGAGAGAGGACATGAGCGCAGCCCCCCCTCCTCTTCTCTCCGTGCGTCATCAAAGAAGGAGGAGCCTACGTCTACGTCAAGCCAAAGACAAAAATTCACAAGGAGTAATCGCTTAGTTACCGAAATAACAGCTACTTTTTAGACAGCCTATTTGGAAAAAAGTGAAAGTATTGAGTTACGAACAGTAGCATAGACTGGGGTAAGTTAAGACCACAGACTGTATAAAGAATTCACTTTTGCATTGACCGTTTTTAGGTCAAAAGTGTTAAAGCTGAACAAAAAACACACTACACACATTTTCGGAAGTTTCAACGTGTCACATGAAAGATTTTATACAGAAAAATCAATATACCGTTCTTCTTAAAAGTATGCATATCGTTTGAATTTTATTTACTAAAACGTAGGGAGTTTTGTTTGCTCTACATATTTTTGTGAAATTAACCAAGTGAATTAGTCACATTGCAATTTTCAAAATGCACTGAGTGGCTCAATTTACGCCACTCTCCCGTGCACTCATCCCTAATGAAAGTGCTGACGGTGCCCTCTTGTGGTAAAAATGTGTACATAACAAAATCTATATATTGTATAGCAGTAGCACGTACTCCAATAAATGTTTCAATTTTACATTCTGCATGCCTCTCTGCATAAAATGTTGTCGCAGTGCGACTAGATCTAGTCTAAATGCACACTAACAAAGTCTAAAACTAAGACTAAATGACTCAACAGGGTGTAAAATTAAGTGTCCAATTAGCCTAAATCAAAACAACTGGAGAGTCTAAGTCACAGCATAATGGTAAAGACACCACAAGTTTGAGAACAAGATGATGCCTGCACTAAATTAATCATTTTAAAGTCAAGATCACTTTAAGATTCAAGATTTAGTTAATCTTGAATTGATGAGCAACAAAGCAGAGACAGACCTCTGAATAAATTTTACAGGATAATGCAATAAACATAACAAATACTTACAATACGGAAAACTATATACTTTAATTGGGTTATAACTGTCATGTACAAGTGTACATATCACCAAATTAAAAAGTCTAGACAGTAATTTTAAAAGTGCTGCAGTAACATAAATGCCAAACATGATTATTATTAATTCAGTTTAGTTCATGATCGTCATCATGACTCACAAAAATGAGCACGTTCATTTTCTTAACATGATCAAATTAAATGTATACAGTATTTGCTCCTACTGTGTACTATGTAAAAAGATACACAAGTGCCTTCTTAAACAAGGTTTCAACATAAAAATCTCAAGTCCCAGAACAAAAATATGTTTTAGTATTCATCCAAATTGTCAGCCTTTGGTATGGAAAGACCTCGGTCTTTCAGCACCTGCATTTTGACTTTTTCAGTCTCTTGTTTGGCTTGTTGCTGAAGTCGTTGCTCCTCCAGAATCTCTTCAATAGGGACTTGTTGCAAAACTGTGTCACAGGGTTTATCCACATCCTGCAAAAACAATGTTTAGTCATTAAAAGTGCTACACTACCACCTTTTTGTAATCAGTGGCCTATTGCGTTTTTTGCCATAATATGGTATATTATAGACAAATGCAAACAACAGGACTTCTATGTTTTTCAGTGCAATAAAAACATCCAAAATAAAAGCTCTTATTTTAATCTACTTTATGGCAAAAATTTTACACACTGGAGCTTTAATAGTCAAAGTAATTTTGGACTTGTCAGCAAAACGAAACACTTTACGAAAAGCCTAATAAACTGTATAATCAATTTAATAAAGTGTACAAAAATAATATATGCGTATCCCGTAGTTTATCCATCATCAAGATCGCCTCATAAAATTAATGATGCCATCATTTGGGTTGTATTATTTTGTATGTGACTGCCGATCTTGACAGCAAATAAGTTTAATATAGACTAGAAAGCACTTTTTAAGCTCCTCAGAAAATCAGTGCAGTGTTGACTTGTTTGTGCACATGAAAATTTAACATTTTACTCAAATGAACCTACTTATGTCATATTTTAGCTGCAAAACATTTCCTAATTCTTACTGAAATTAATGATATCTCTGTTGAACTGGATTCGCCACCATTTACAGGCAAAAGTGGCTAGGCCCGAATAAGGTGAATATTGTGCCGAAAATCAACAAAAAAATAGTTCCATTCACTGACATTATTTAAAATGGGTGTGTTTTTAAGTCACACCATTCTGGTTTCAGCTTTAAATGCACACAACATAAATGTTAGTGAACACAATACACAATACAACACAATAAAGCTTCAAATGGTCCTATTTTAACATGTGCTTATTAAAATATACAAATTGCAGAGACAATGTATTTTTTTTCTTTAAACTGAGGGCTACATCTTGAAACATACTGACCAAAGATCAGTGGTCAAGACAGTGGATCATTCAGATGATGCTTTCTACAGAGCCACTGCACGTTTAATAAAGCTTGAAACATTAATTTAGGGTCCATCGACAATGCTTTAATGAGGTTATAGTCGTAGAATTGTTTGCATTTGTTTGTATTTGAGGGACAACAAAAATTGGTCTGAGAGCCACATTTGGCCCCCTGGGCCATAGTTTGGACTGCTGGTCTATGATAATTACCCTCAATACTCTATTTACTAATATTCCCATACTCAGTGGTGTAAAGCTACATCTACAGCCACTGATGCCCTGGAGGAGACTTACAGAAGCGTGGCTGCCACCAGTTCATTACTCAGATTCAAAATAAAGGCAAGGTGGAGAAGTGTCAGGTCAGACCTGCTTTTTTTTTTTTTTTTTTTTTAAACATAATAAAACGCAGTAATGGCCTTCATTTTTTTCACAGATTATTCTTCATCATAGACTGGATGTTTTAATAAAAAAGTTGAGCTACAACTTACTATTTCACCGAGCAGAACCACATTCTCTCCTCTCACAATAAATATCCCTCTAGGGATGTCGCCAAATTTCTTTCCCACGTGAATCCGTTCCACGGTCTGGTGAAATACTAAATTGGCTGGGTACAAGAAAAAAGTTTCATGTAAAGTTAAAATCTGTACAAGACTTAAAAATTATAGTCACAACCCCATGCAAATTAACGGACACTCCTCTTCAAAGACGAAGGATTTGAAATAATTCAATGAACATTGGAATTCTTACCAAACTGATCAATGCTCCTAAGATACCCAATCAATGTTCTTCCATCACGGAGCAGCACCAAGTGTTTCTCTGCAAGATGCAAACAAAGCAGCTCATTAACCAGCCATCACAAATATCCGTCAATATTTCAGCCACGATGCCGCATTTCTCAAACTGGAATTTGTGCACAGAATAATACGGGCATGGGCCACTTACTGTCTATGTCGTCTATGAGACTAGCTGTCCCCGGTACGTAGTTCATGTTGGCCCTATGCGTTTTTTATTCTATGTAACATCGACTCTTCAGTGTTTCAAACTATGCTTTTAGGAACCATAACCTACCGGAAGCGCCTTTATACACGGTTGAGGCAAACTTCCTGTGTAGACGTTTAACCCTTAACACGCTGTTTTCGTCTTGTAGTGACTATAGTTTCTAAACGTATAATTCATCAACAACAAAAGCATTTGACGTGAACGTATGAAGAGTTTTGCTGGAAGACTTTCCTAATTTAAACAGTTAATGTAACAAGCGCTATTGATAAACTTGTTCTTATTGGTTTAACGTAACAATGACGTAGACCGCGTGCCAAAGATCGTGAATATAGACATTGGAGTCATTGTGAACCTGAACAGTTTTAACAAAATTAGGTAAAATACTTTTCGGTGTTGTTTAGTTTTTCTTCTCTAACGAGTGTATAATTTAACACCAGTAATTTATATGTATTTACTCAAAATATTTTCTGTCGACGTTAATAACCTCAGAGAGGGACCTCCTAAGCGTGTCTTTAAAGACTCGAAGCATGATTGTGCGATCGGACGGATCGGACTGTCATTCAATTATTTCCTGAATGCAGCCAGGCGATCACCACTGTTTTGCTTCATTGTGACATTTTATTCAGCCGTTATACAGTATTTGGTACTTCGAAGGTTGTTCAATGTTTGGTTGTTTTATAATGGCAAATAGGAAGAGGGCAGTCGGGGACGAGGTATAGCTGATGCATCATCACCACCAGAACCAGCGAAATTGGAAATCTGGCTGGCCCTCGGAAGATTATAACTCGGAAAATAATAAACTCATCACCAGTAGCAACATGGTAAGTTTCTATTTGTGGTTCAGAATGGTGTCATTTGCTGTCTTCTTTCTGTGTTCAGTTTTTTCCAAGGGCCTCTCTATATTCAGACAAATCCTCTTTTCTCCGCTAGCTTTGAGTGGCTAATGGGCTGCTAGCTGGTATTATGTAATATATGACCACAATCAACCATCACCATCCCGTCTTTTCTGATATTTCCTGTCTATCCATATAATCGTACGCTTTTAATTTGCACCTCATGTAATTAATTAAAACGATAGTAGCTGCATATGTGCTTAGCCCGCATAGAAAATGTGCATCATATTAGAAATTCTATTAACGCTAGATGTTTTAATAACAAATAGTACGTTTTTATTGCGAAGTTTTTGCTAATTGTTTTTCTTTACAGGATGCTTCTCAATATCCTGGCTACCCTCCTCACTATTGGTATCCACAGTCTCACTCTACCGGTCATTATGCAAACACCTATCCTGCTGGGTCAGAAGTTCAACCACAGTACAATCCACAGGTACAGTACAGCTCTATGATGTAACCTTAACAGGCTTTTTAAAGATTGCCATTTGTGATTTAAATCTGTCTAGTTGCATGTCTTACTCTATCTATGAGATGCCTTTTACTCTACTTCCTTCATTTTCTTAAGCATGTCATGCCTGGAGGTTATCCAAATGGCCATGGAGTCTACAGCCCACCACAGACGCAGTATTCAAGTGGTTTCCACCCATCAAATCCTTTCTACTGTGCTGACACTCAGCGATCTGCACCCGGACCCTATCCAAATCTAGGCTGTCCTGCAGAACAAAGCAGTGGCCCCTCTGGGCAACCACATTCCCAGCATCAACAACATCACTATCCTGGACCACACTGTCAAGGGGTATTTGGCATAAAGTTGTTTTGCTTCCTTTATAGTATGTCAGAAATCACTGTTTACTTAATTTTGAAATTCTATTTATGTCAGGGTCCAGGATATCCTCCTGGAGCTTATCCTCACTACAGTGACGGTGGCCACCCAATGCCTTCAAACTCACCATATCCCACTGGCCAACCAGTTCAGAGCCCACCTCCTGAAGCTTGGACACACTCTGGTGCATATGCCCCTCCACAGCAGCAATGGCCTCCAGGTCAACAGCCTCCACAAAATCCATATGGAAATCCTGTTCGTCCTCCTCATCCACCAGCATGGCCAGGCACTGGCACTGGTGCACCCCCACCATACCAGCCCAAGGTACAATTCTTAACTAATTTAGTCTAGAAGTAATGTTGTTTTTACTGAAGTTTGCCATTGGAGGGTTTGATGATTTATGATGGGTACAGATTTGTTTATTTCCTTCCATAATAACCAGACTTTTATATCATTCAAGGAGCAGCGTCCACCACCTGTTGGACCAAAACCCAAGATGACTCAAAATTCTTCCAATGGGAAACCTGCTGAGATATGTTCTCCACCTCAGATGTACAACAGACCCAATCAGATTGAGTCCTCTGGTCCAAACCAGACCCCAGCTCAAAGCCAGTCTCCTGCCCCAGGCCAGCCCACCCCTCAGCCCCTGAGTGATAACCCCAGTCTGGCTAAGGTCCAGCAGGTCATGGCCAGAGTGCTGCTACTTCAGGAGGATGTGGATGAGTTTGTTGGCAAAAAAACTGATAAAAGTTATCGATGTTTGGAGGAACTGCTTACCAAAGAGCTACTGGAGTTGGACTCGGTGGAGACTCAGGGACAAGAAAATGTTCGTCAGGCAAGAAAGGAAGCTGTCCAGAGGATCCAGGCCATTCTGGACCAACTGGAAAAGAAAGCTTTCTGAGCTGGACTCATTCTTATACTGTATATTGACAATTGTTCCTTATAGAGATATCTTTTATCCTAATCAACCCTGCAATTAAATGGGTAATGGTTGAGTTGGATTAAAATAATACAAGGTTAAGGCTCCAACCTTCCTCTTAGAGTTGCAATTAGATATGCAATATTAATGTGTGCATATCTAATGTTAATATCAGTCACTCAGATTTGAGTGGAGGTGCTGATGACAACAACCTGTCACATCTCATACTCTATCCAAAGCTTTGCCAGCATAATGTAGAGCAGTGAAAGTGGTGCCTAGTGCCACACAGCAACTGTTGTTTTACCTGTGACACAGAATCAGATTGTCATCATTGTGTTTCCTCAGGACTATAACACGCGCACTTCCAGTGGATTGGACAACTGATTGCATGAACCTTCTAGTTACTGACCTACAGTCAGAACATGTAGCTGACCATTAACATAATTTTTCTATGTTTAGGTGCAAGTTGTTACCTTCACATGTGCTCCCAGTCCTGCATGCTCTACAGTAGTTCAACACCATGGTTCAACTAATTCCATTTCTAGAAAAATAAATAGGCCATGAGTGTTGCTGATGAAACCCCCTAAAGAGCCTGCCTGTCCTATATAAGATACAGATTTAGACAAAATCAGACCTCCAAAGAATACCGCCAATAACTGTTATTTCTAAAATGTCAGATATCTAAGTATGCAGGTTTCAGTAACTTCATTTTCTCATTAGGCAGATGTAAAGCAGGTATTTCAGTCATTATAAATTTGAGTGCCATATTTGTTGGAATAGTTTAAGTAATTAAAATAAAAACCACAGCTTTGCATGAATCTATCATTGTTACTTGTGTTAACTTTGTTGTGTTGTTCATTTTCTTACTGTAAAGTTTAAAATGTGCATGTTTACAACACATGATGGTAATCTGCCTGATACATACATACATAAAAGCAAAAATTTAAAAAGTAATAATTAAAAGTTAAGTATATTTTTAATGTGTTTGTTGTACTTGTTACTTCACTATACAAGTTTGAAAAACATGGATTATCATTGTGACTCTACTATATTTTTTACTTGGAAAGCATAGGTTCTTGCCAAGTAGATCTTTCACACTCTACACTGCATGTGCCTGTTCTTTAAATAGACAGCTATTCTGATTCAAAACCATAAACACACGCCATGGGCCACTGGGTGACTTAAAATCTAGGATCAGATAGCTCAAGTGCTTTCAGGACAAGGGAGTAGCGCTGCTGAGGCTACCTGATCAAAGACAGATTCCATCATCAAGACTAATTATCTGGGAATAATTTTTGGGGCTTTTATAATTTGATTTAATTTAAAAGGAGATTTTTCCGAAACATTTAACAGCTCAAAAATATGTCCTATATTTCTAAACTTCCTGCATCCTGGAATGACATGCCACCTCCAAGAAAAGTGGACATTGACTTGAGTTCTCCAGGGTTAGCAGTGAACCAACTGGAAAAGCTTCTTTTCACTGGCAAAGCAATAATTAGTCATGCAGATGAGGTGTGGCCCAGGCTGTACATTGGTGATCAGTGAGTAATACATTTCTTGATCTTTGTTTAAATTGTCTTTCAACCTACTGTGTTTTAGTTTAGTTTTATGTTCTTCATTAGAGTAGTTTAGTCATAGTCATACTTTATCATACCAATATGCCCATGTTCAATGACCCTTTGTAAATTACAATTCAAATACTGGCTGCGTTGAACCTAAGCTTATTCACAAACATTGCTCAAGCAGATTTGCTGCATGTGGGTGGAAAAAGACCTGCTCATAAATCAATGTAAAAGGAGGATGGGAAACCTTATACTTTAGTGGCATTCCACAACAGGAACTTACATAAACTATGGCCCTGCTATGTGAACTGTTTTGCCCTTGTGGTGGCCTATAAAAAATGTATCTCAAATGTCTATTGGCTTAATGTCTGCTGTATTTAAGTTATTATTTTTAAATGTTTTATACATGTTACAGACAGAGTGCAGAAAACCGTGAAGACTTACACAAGCATCGAATCACTCATGTTCTGAATGCTGCTTACAGTAAGCGCAAAGGGCAACCAGAGATTTATAGGGCATTGCAGATTGAATTTATGGGAATAGATGCTCGAGACTCATATGATTTTGACATGAGTGCCCACTTCCAATCGGCAGCAGACTTCATCCACAGAGCTCTCGGCAAAGGAGGTATAGCATCTAAAAAATGTATTAATATGCTGATTTCCTATTGTATAATATTGCTGACTTTCAGGTAAAGTGCTGGTGCATTGCCATGTTGGGGTGAGCCGTTCTGCCACACTGGTCCTCGCTTACTTGATGCTGAAACAGAATTTTAATCTGGTGGAGGCAATTTGTGCTGTTAAAGAAAATCGTGGAGTGATCCCAAACCGAGGATTCCTACGACAGCTTATTGCTCTGAATAAACAACTTTTTAACTGAATAACAGATTTTTCTATTTATATCTATTTCATTTACAGAAATAATATTTTCATATTTTACACAACTGTACAAATGCATTTAATTCATTTTTTTATATATAGTCTCTCTTCTGGAACATTCTTGGGCAAGTTGTAATGAGATGTATTTAGCCTTAAAAAATGTATTGAAGGGATAAATTGTAATAAAACACAAGAGTGTTGCATTTGTATTTGTTTGACCCTGTGAGTCTGTAGAGCATGGTGTTAAATATTTGGCTGTCCATATGTAGCACTTGTGGTTGGATAAAGAAGCTTCAGAGAGTATGATTACCTCTAGTTATTGCTGTATGCACTGAAACACAAGAGACACATCTATGACTGTGCTATTCATGTGCGGCCATGGACTGTCTATAGTCCGGGCACACTTTTCAATTAGTTTAAACAGTGGAGGATGCTTCTAGAAAACAGCAGTTATTATTGTATTAAACAAATACATTTTTGCAATAAAAATTCTCTTACTTGAATATTGACAGCTATGCATTTTGAATAGTAATCATTACTTAAAACAAACATGGGGACAGTGTAAATACAAGGTTTAGCTAAAATAAACAAACCCAAAGTTCAGTAGATTTGACTAGTTTAAAAAATGGGACATCCCATTCTTTCCAGCCTGTGCTTCAGTGACTGACTTATAGGGTAGAGGCACCAACCATAAGAACGCAGGATTTGGATGGTAAGATATCTCTAAGCTATCTCTAAACTAAATGCAGGTTTAAAAGTAAATGAGTCCATACAGTTGTTAGTTCACAGTATTTGCATACTGTATTTAAGTCAAATGTCTCTGTCACAGTTGCAGGTCATTATGTTGCGAGCAGCTTTGGTTTTCTGCCTAGCAGCAGTGGTTGTTATGGGAAGACCAGATGAAGGTCATGGAAACTCAAGGCCTGAAGCTCAGTCAGATCAGGACACTTCACAGGACAACAGTGTGTCTATGGTGAACACAGCTAATAAAGAGTTCTCCTTTCGTTTGTACTCTGCGTTAGCCTCTCAGCCGGACTCCCGGGACAAGAACATCTTCTTGTCTCCAGTCAGTGTGTCTGTGGCTCTGGCAGCCCTGTCTGTGGGAGCACGAGGAGACACTCATGAACAGCTCTTCACTGGACTGGGCTTTAACAGCTTACTGCTCAACCAGAGTCAAGTCAACCAGGCTTTCAGAGCATGCCTGCACAAAAATGTGTCTCAAGATGCCACTCAAGGCACCGCTGTGTTTGTGGATAATAAGTTCAAACCAAACCCAGAGTTTCTGGACTCTCTGAAACAGTCCTACCTCACAGATGGCTTCACTGTGGACTTCACCAAGACCACAGAGAGCGCAGACACCATCAATAATTATGTGTCAGACAAGACCAATGGAAAAATAGACAAGATGGTGGACAGTCTGGGCGATGATACTGTCATGTACCTTCTCAGCTATATCTACTTTAAAGGTACTGTGTGTGTGTGTGTGTGTGTGTGTGTGTGCGTGTGTTTGGAGGTTATTATATTATATTATTAGATTATAACCTCTTTCATTTTAATAGGAAAATGGCAAAAGCCATTTGACCCTCAATCGACCAGAGAAGACACTTTTGAAGTTGATGAAAACACCCAAGTTAGTAGAAACAGGAATTGAAATTCTCTTTTTTTTTTTGTAGTTACATACATACATACATGATACTGTGTATAGGTACCAGTCCAGATGATGAACGAGGAGAACAACTTTCAGGTCTATTATGACCAAGCCATCAACACCTCAGTGCTGCACCTTCCCTTCAACAGCTCCTACTCAATGCTACTGATGCTGCCAGCTGAAATGGAAACACTGGAGAAAGCCATTTCCCCAAGTTATGTCACTAAATGGCTCAAATGGATGAAATCTAAGTCAGATATGTTAATTCCTATTTAGCTAGAGTTCATGACTGTTAAATATTTGTATTAATATTTGTATATATTATATTTTATCAGGAGATATAATGTATTTATTCCAAAGTTTTCCATCAAGACGTCATACTCTCTGAAGGAAGTGTTGAGCGAGATGGGGATGACAGACATGTTTGGAGACCGCGCAGATCTCAGTGGCCTTGCAGCGGGCAATAAGCTGGCTGTATCAGAGGTACTACACAATGATAGTTTCCAATGAGGACAGGAGCTAATCTGACCCTGGAGCTGGGCATATTTAAACAATGTTCATATCATCCTATTGTTATCCAACCACATTTAATAAAGTCACTTTTTGTACAGCATATGTCCATATTGGTTTTTAAGACGGTGTCCTCTGGATTGACCACCACAGACAGTAATTGAATTTTTTTAATTTTTTTATCTCAGGTTGTTCATAAGGCTGCTCTCGATGTGGATGAGAAAGGAGCCACTGCAGCAGCTGCTACAGGAGTTACCATCACCCTTCTGTCTTTCCGTTACGTCCCAGTCCTGAAGTACAACCATCCCTTCATGCTTCTAATCTTGGACAGGGCAACACAGGACATCATGTTCATGGGAAAGATCATCAACCCAAATATCTAAAGATGCAAATTGTATGGCATACTAAACCTGAGTTACAATTTAAAGATGTATTTCTTCATTTTATTCCTACAAGTAGGCTATTTTAGGGTATCTGATAACTGATATATGAGATGATATAATGGATGATTATTAAAATTGGTCTTGAGTTTGAGTTTTGTAATGAAGCAAGTTATAGGCTAGCCTGTAAACCTGGTATTTTATTGTCTAAAGTGAATACAAGTGTGAATAGTGATGTCATTGTGTGTGAGTGTAACTAAAGGACTAAACCAGGACTACATCAGAACTAAACCAGGACTAAACCAGTGTGAATGTGGACCTAATATCTAAAATTATTTTCTACCGTGAGCTCACGCTTCTATGTGATTGGTTGAATTCAATACAGTTTTTCTTTGATTAGTGTGAAAAGTCTCATGCAGGATTGGAGTTGTTTGAGTTGGAACGTGCCTTTCTCTACATATAGACCACCAGATATATGTCCAGGAACTCAAACTCATGCACGAAGTACCCCCTGTATTCAAAACAACCAAACCACTCAACGACGTAAGAGCAGGCGCCTCCTTGGTCCATCAGAGTCATTTATTATACATTTATAGAGTTATTTCATATTTACTCATAGGTAGTGGAAACAAACATGATTATAGCCAAACTTTTAAACTACTTCATGTGGAAATAAGCACTAGTCCTATAACTTGGTATGATGCATCTCAAAGGGTGAAGTATAGCCCTTAACCCTGTTAAGCTTCATGTGTATCATGCACTGTCTCTGTCTCATTAAATAAATAAACTAACCTAATTTGTCTAATGCTAACATTCGTGATCTATATAACCAATATGAGTTTCATAACAGAAGATATATATGGCCGATTGCCGTTATTTGCTCATATCAGTGTTATATAATAATTGCCACAAGATCTCGTGAGACAAAACTGCCACAAGATCATGCACACAAGAGAATTTTTTTTGTTCATGTGTTACCATCTCAATTTACTTATAGCCAAATTAAAGGAAAGTGAAACAAGAAGAAATCGTCCCCCATCTCTTTTATTGTTGTAAATACTCAAAGGAACTCTGATCAAATCTAAAAACACTTATCCTGCAAAAAACATCCATCAGAATTCATTTGGACTTATAGATCCATTGAAAGGCTCTGGAGCCCAGATCTTCTCCACCTCGTGGAGAGGCCTCTGACCCAGAGACGATGGTGTCACCTCACTCAGGGCAACTGGGTCTCTAAAGGTAATCAGTATTGGAGAGTCAACCTGAGGAAGAAAGGATTAAAGGAGAAATGTTATGTTTGTACTTAGTATTGGACACTAATATAAGCATATATATATATCTGTATATATATATGTGTGTGTGTGTGTGTATATATACACACACACACACACACACACACACATATATATATATATATATATATATATATATATATATATATATATATATATATATATATATATATATATATATATATATATATATATATATATATATATATATATATATATATATATATATATATATATATATATATATATATTATATATATATATATATATACACATACATACACACATATACATACACATATACATACACACACACATAAAATTATTATTATTATTTCTAATCATTGGATAGTGCACCAGTAGAGGGCAGTGATATAGTCTTCTGTAACTTTTTCCAGCCAAAAGCGGAAGTGTTTTCTTGTTTCAAACATGGCGGAGAAAACAGAAAAGTGTCCTCCAGAAAATGGACCTTATTTTCACAAAGAAAGATTAAAGTACAGCCCAGAAGAAGAGGCCAGGCTGGAAAGAGAACACTTTTGGAGAATTGTCGATGCTTTTAGATATTACAGGTACACAATATAACAATAAAATTGGTACAAGGCGAGCACAAACCAACCAACGGCATAGCTTCTTTACAAATAAACGATGGAAATATGTACAGGTCTTCAACAAATACGCTGCCGTATTTTGACAGCCTTGTGTTTGTAGGGATTAATTTAGGGGTACAATTACATAAAACCTGACGTATAACACACTGAAAACTTGAACAAACTCTCTTGTGTTAAATCTAGACATTTAGAAGCATAATATGCATTGCCTTATTATTTTATCAACATATAACAAATGCTGCATGTTAAGTCCCAGACAATTATAAAAGAACCCCGCCCTCCAAAATATAGGAAAATATTCTAAATTAAATTTATGTCATTAAACCAGTATTTAAAAATATATCTGTAGCCTAAGTTTTAGGCTAAAAAGTGAAGGATGGTATAGCTCACTCCTGTATATTTTCACCAGGATTCATGTCCAGGAGATAGTCAAACGTGCTGAACGACAGTTTTTGAGTCTGCCAAAGGATCACCAAGCTCTGCTCCCTGGTGTCCTGATGAATTTAACTCATGTCAGTGAATGTGCCAACTCTAATAATGAAGTGCTGCAAGCAATTGTGAACAACAGCATCCACATGTTTGAAAATATTGAATATGGAGAAAGGGTAATGTATATCATCTTTTTAATAAACCTAGTAAACTATAATTTTGTATAATATTAAAAATGATATTGTTATAGCTCCTCTGACACATTTTAACATTTTTTGTAAATTAGTAAAAAAAAAAAAAAGTTTTCAAATTATTTTTTTTGTCTTCCACTTACATGTGCATTTTAGATTTTGCTTGATTTTCTTCCCTTTCAATTTTCTCTTAGGAAGACCCAAGAAGACATCCGACATCTACATTTGACATGGACAAACTTAAATCAACAATCAAGCAGTTTGTCAGAGACTGGAGTGAAGCTGGACAGGCTGAAAGGGACTCCTGCTACCAGCCCATTATTCAAGAAATCCAAAGACTGTTTCCTAGTGACAGATTGTAGGCATTTTCTCTAGTTTTGCAATAAAGAAAGAACGACCCCTGTATGATTGCTCATGATTGGTTTGTTGTATTTTTCTTCCAGTGATGTGTCTACAGTGAGTGTGCTGGTCCCAGGAGCAGGGCTTGGTCGTCTGGCCTGGGAGATAGCCCGTCTGGGTTATATCTGTCAAGGAAATGAATGGAGCTTCTACATGCTCTTCTCCTCTAACTTTGTTTTGAATAGGTACTGATCACTCTCGTTCATATATGCCTCATCTCATCTTTTAACCAAATGTATTACAGCCTTGTTCTAATCACACAAGATATGTATAATGCAGGTATATTCGTCTTTTAATTAATTCTTAAATGTGGTAATTTAAAGATATAGCCTAACTACAATTATAACTATAAACAGGGTTTTATATCCTGGTTTTCAAGTTAAGTCTTTTTGCTGTGGCTTTGGATTTTGGGGCCTCAAGCCTTTGATTTGTTAAGGTGATGCTACAACTCAGTGTACTGTATGTCATGTTGATTTCAATTATAACACATATGTCAATTATCCACAACTGTTAAAATGACTGAATGCCAAATGCAGGTGTGAAAAGGTGAACTCTCTGACCCTGTACCCCTGGATCCACCAGTTTAGCAACAATAAGAAATCCTCTGACCAGACAAGACCAATCCAATTCCCTGACGTAAACCCCCAAAGCCTGCCTCCGAGCTCAGAGTTCTCCATGGTTGCAGGCGACTTTGTAGAAGTCTACACAGAGCCAGGTAATAAATAGTCCAATAATATCAGTTGGCTTTCACATAATCTTTGTTTCCATTTTTTTTCTAACAGTAACATTATATTGGTCTTGAACAGATTCCTGGGACTGTGTGGCAACTTGTTTCTTTATTGACACAGCATAATGTAATTGAATATATAGAAACAATTTGGAAGATTCTTAAGCCTGGTGGGGTATGGATTAATTTAGGTTTGTACATGTTTCACAACAATAATGATGAAAAGCAATTAGAAAAATATAGTAAAAAAAAACAAAAAACTCCCTTGTTTTTTGCAGGTCCTCTCCTGTACCACTTTGAGAACATCGCCAATGAACTGTCAGTGGAACTAAGTTATGAAGACATCAAAGCAGCCATAGTTAGATTTGGCTTCCAAATAGAGGTAAAACATTGTTGTATTAAGTGAAAAAGAATGAATATTTGATTTATACATTTCTAAACTACATTCTTTTTAATCCTACAGGTCGAAAAAGAGTCAGTCCCAACCACATATACAGAGAATGACTGTTCCATGCTGCGATATGTTTATGACTGTGTCTTTTTTGTGGCACGGAAACCTGAGGAAAAATGTTATAATGGATTTAAAGAACAGGGTTTGCCACCAGCTGCTAAAACACCGCGACGTGAGGATATAAAATTCTTAACGTGACCTGTGGACATTTGTTGGACATTCCTAACAAAGTAAAAAGATTGAAGATCACATATGGACATTTACTGGCCTACTTACCCTAGTACTATGAAACTCTATTGACCTCTATATAAAATATGAAGTATAAGCAGGATGAGGAAGAAACATCTTTTGGAGAAAATGTTAAAAGTTTCAAATCAAGAATGAATGGGTTTCATTTACAGCTTTGACAGTGAGTACAGCCCATCCCAGAGGTAAATGCCAACATTGTAGTATGTGTCAGTATTCCAATGTGGTGCCAATATCTTCTATTTGCATTTAAATGTTTGTAATATTCTTGACCAGAGATTGTCTACTTTTAATGCTTTTTAAATAGTAATACAAATAAACTGTACAAGAGCACTTTGCATGGTAGTGTGATTGTACTTAATATCATACTGACAAAGTGATAAGATCTCATTATAGATCCATGGGAGGAACCATGGAAGATTGTATTTATATATACTGTCAATGGGAGGAACATAGAAGGGGAGAGAATAATCGGGAGGCGTGGTTAAACTCTTCTTTGCTTTGATTGGCCCTTCACCCTGTTTTACAATTTCTACTACCGGGGTTGAATAGTTTGGGCCATCATGCTAGAATTACAGTGCGCATATGTAATTTAACTTACACAGATCTCAATGAAATCCATGGCTAAAAGGCGTGCATCCGAAGATGCACTCCTCTGCACCTCACCTTCTAAAAAATGTCGCGGACTTTGCGGTGTTGACATGCGGCTAGAAAGCGTGGCTGCCTCCGGGGGTGTGAGCCATGGGGTGAGCCCGCCGTCCCTGCACGCTTTGTTGGGAAGTCGTTGTAGAAAAAGACCCCTTTACTTTGATGAAACAGAAGCGACTGACTTTGATTTAGAGCTTTTCCGCAAAAGTACACATGATGACCTGCAGGTGAAGCACCCTGCGTACCCGAACCATCAGATAAACACAGTGCACCCGCAGCAGACTTCTGGAAACTTCCAGGAGCCTCGAAACTTTACGAACGCTAAATCCACGAACAAACGAACTCGAGAGGATTGTGATGAACCTGCAGACACAGTTAATTCTAAAGCCGTGGTAAGTGCGCCATAGCGTTTTTTTTATATACCGGGAACTCTAAATTCCTGAGTCACATGGGCGCAATGACACAAATGAGCCACTAGATGTCATATTTGAGCTTTGTCTTGTCTGCCAATCAAGCCAATGAGAAATTGAAATCAAATGAAAAAGCTAAATTATCAAAACTACTTAATCGCTCACGTTTCTGAATAATTTGCAAAGTTTGCATTAGCCATTATTGTCTATCTCTGTAAGAATAATAGACTGCTGTATAAATGGTAAGTGTTAATTAGTGATCAAGTTTATCCAGATATGACCTAATTTTTTTCTTTTTCTAAACATTTTCTTTCTTTCTTCAGGTGGATAGAAAGACAGACATTGAAGACAATTTCAACTCGTTTCAGTTTTGGAGAATACCTTTGCCTGAATTGGACATGTCCCTGCTCCAGGAGCCTAATAAAGACTTCAGTTCTGAGGAAATGGAAACATGAATATTTGGGTTGGTGTTTATTTGCATTCTTGACTAATGCAGTAATCAAGGTTGTAGATTTTGTTTGATTTTGTTGATCTGTATTTAGACACAAAATTTGGAGAAATGCTACTTTTTGTTACAGCACTTTACAGCCAGTAAGGAGGATCTAAGATGAAATTTCAAGATTCTTTTACTTTCTCATGTTTTATTGTAAACGATGTTGTGAACCAATGTTTGACAGTAAAGTTTGTACTCCTTCTGTAATATCTGCTGCATCTCTCTCTTTTCTTTCTTAAATATGGCATCACAGAAGTCAAAAGAGAAATCATATTCCTTGAAATGTGTTTCAAGTTTCAACTGTAGCAAAACTATCATAGGCTAATATTTAAACAGGCCAGTGCTGGTAGTCTATGAACTACTCATTAATTTGCCTTAAGTAATTGATTATATTTGCCTTTTCTTTGCCATTATTTGTAGAGGCACTATGCAGCTTTACTGTTGGTGATCTACTACCTGCTACCCTCACAAACGTGTTGCATTGCCTGAAACATTCCAAAGTATGGTATTAAAGGTATCTTGACTTTATTCAATTACAGTTTTGTTGCTAAAGAATTACATTACATGCTTTTTTTAAAGCTGCCACACTACAGTTTTTTTGGTATGAAATGATTTTTAAATGTGCGACAAAAAGTGTACACTACAGACACAAGGAGAATCTTGTGAGATTTTAAAATCTCCGGTCGCCAAGACAGTAGCGGGATATGGCTTTGGACTACAAGCTACACAGTTGTGAGCACGATCGGGTCAAGTATTTTCTATATACAGAAAAACTACTCGCTTTGAGACTCTTAAGTGTTTAAAGGGACTGGAGCGCTGCACGTTTAGTCAAAACTGCTATTATTTGTGAAATGTGGTGCAATACTTCAGATACATGATTTTTAAAGTATAAAAGATTGGTGATCAAGTACATAGGAAGTAGAGTCACTATCACTAATCTGCAGTTTCAACCCAATCCGTGCGCTGTGTGGATGTAAACAGGCACACATGAAGAACTAATCTCCTTTTTCTTTTAAAGAACGCCTCAGACTGGAGGTGATAATAAAGCCTTCTCATTATTTTAGTTTTTCCTGAGTTTGTATCTTGTGCCTCTGTGTCTGTCTCTCCTCTCCCCCTGATGCTCTAGTTTATTGGCTGTTCCTGCAGTGTTGCTGATGTTTGGTGGTTATGATTTTACAGAGCAGCTCAGAGTCATACTGACACCACACACACACACACACACACACACACACACACACACACACACACACACACACACACACACACACACACACACACACACACACAGACACACACACACACAGACACACACACACACGAGGAGCACAAACACACACACACGAGGAGCACAAACACACACACGAGGAGCACAAACACACACACACACACGAGGAGCACAAACACACACACACACACACACACACACACACGCACACACACGCACACACACACACACACACACACACACGCGCACATAAGGAGGGCTGCAGCTTTTAAATCACACACGAGGACACAAAGTCGGGCCACGCTTTCCCGAACTTGGGGAAAAGTAAATCACAGCCAAAATCAGGCAAATTCTGTGTGGCAGAGTTCCTGTCTCTACAGATCTGACTTGTAATTTGCCTTAATGGCATCACCTGCTGCTTGTCTTCATGGAAATGGGTACATTTATATTACATACTGTAGAACATTACTATTTTTTGATCTAAGTATGTTATAAACTTGTTTCCTCATCAAAACTTACCTGGTGTTGCATTTTGCTTCATTCACATGTTTAACACAAATCTTGCATATTTAGGCTGAGTTCATTTCTCAAACAGAAAACACCCCATTCCACCTTGTGATATCATGTGGTAATACAGGAAGTGCTCCACTGTGTTTTTAAACTCTATAACCCTTCATTTGAATCATTTAGATAATTTCAGCCCTGGAATGGCTAATCTCTACTGAAAGGGTAAAAAGTGGCTGTTAACTTGAAACTATACCACTAGCGTCACAAGGTGGAACAGAGCAAACTGAGCTTTGGAGATGTAGATAAATAATAAAGGAATACTCAAACGAGTAAATGAAACAAAACACTATGTTTTTTGATGAGGTCACAGTATTATAACTTAGCTTAAAGTTTTATAGTTTTCCCATGTGGTTGGCTGCTTTTGTGGCACCTGGTTCACACTGAGCTGTTTTTGAAACGTTTTGTTTTTTTGAGCAACATCATATCATAGGATTTTAACCAATTCAAAACTAGAACTTCCACCAGGATCAATAAAGTATCTCTCTCTCTAAAGCTCACAAGAGTCAATTTTGTGTAATATAGGACTTGGCTATTCTATGACTGTGGCCCAAGGAAAACATTACAGCATTGCATCCCAGTTCATGCTTCATTAAGAACATGAATTGTACGCTTGTTATGTCTCTGGGAGTTGTGGCTGTTATTAGTATCCGACCCACACCCAGATGACCTGTGGACCAGAGGTGTTTGAAGGAGGGGGTCATGAACTCACGGAGCGTTCTTGGTGCGGCTTTCCACGCCCTTTGGACCAGCACTGATAAAAGACAAAGGCTGTGATGATGAGAGGAAGGGGCAGAGGCAGGAGTACAATATTTTTTGAGTAACTGCTTCGACCATGGTAAGTATTGTATTTTCTAGTCTGCACGTGTTTATGAATATCAACAAGCTTCGCATTAAAAAGTGTTGAACGTTTGCGGACGTCACAAGTTAAGATATGAATATTTTAGAATTTAGTTTCAGGTTTGTCGATATTTCACGTTTGTTAGAAAACTTTCCTCAAGTTAGAGTTGGCTATTTTACTGCAGGCTACTACTTTGATTTTACAAGAGGACATCTTTATATCTGATTGCTCTTTGCTGACATGTACTTGTTGACCTTGCTAATTAGCATATTGCAATATAGCATAGTCTATTAGCCTGCCAAACTAAAAGTGAATTTGAACCAAAGCCCTTAAACTAATTTAAACAGAAATGTATTCTAAAATTCCTAGATTTCTGGGAATATTTTTACCAGCAATGCCTGAGTGACTGATGACTGCAATAGCAACAGCATTGACCCATTTACAGTCACACAGACAGAAGGTGGAAGTGGCACACCAAATTTATCTTCAGCCAATCTCAGGAAAGGGCTTGAGTATGTTTCCTATAAACAATGTTCTGTTGGAGTGGGCCATTGTTAAATCTATCTGGGGAACACAGAGGGTGGGGAGCAAACTAGAGCAACTGGACATAAAGTTATAACTTTTATTGCTTTTGAAGAGAAGTTAGCTCAAACTTATTAGCAAGAAGAATCCATGCCTGCTGCACATCTCTCCATGACCTTTAACATGAATGTCACTCAGTGGTTATATATTTTAAGTAGACACATGCTATTTTTCCTGATTTCTATTGTCTACATTAAATGACAAACTAGGATTTTTTTCCTTTTAGCTTTATCAGTGTGGTATAACAAATCCTTTATTATTTTAGTCTAGAAAATCATGGATTGAGGAAAACTTCTTCAAGAGAGAGTGTGTTAAGTTTATCTCTTCTTCTCGTGACTTTCACAGGTAATTACAGTTTTATGAGCTGTGAAAAGTTTTTTATTATGTTTTCCAAGAATGCCCTAATTTGTGTTAGCCTAATAGTAAATCATTAGCAGGAGTTTGTGGTGATTTCTGAAAGCTGGGCTATTTGGCGCTCAGTGCTTTCTTTCCAGGAACATGCAGCATACTTGTTCTCTGATAATGTGTGACTTCCTGTTTTTTATACAGATGTGTTCCAGTGTGTCAAGTATGTCTAAGCCTGATCAGGTCTGAATTAACTATCTACTTAAACAACATACATAAATTAAATACTTATTCTTCTCTATGTTAGACTGTATTTGTTATTAATGCGGTCCTTTTTATCTTTATCAGATGTTTATGTCATTCTTATCTACAGTTTATTCAGTTCACTCACGTTTTATTTGTGTTAAACCAGATGCTGTTGTGGTCGCCTGATGGGCGAGCACACTTCAGAGAAATTTATTCCGCCCATATCCCTAAACCCCAGGCCTGGCTCAGCTACAGACGAGGAGTGGTGCGTGAAGCGTCACTCCCGGGCCATTCCCACTGATGCCTATGGGACAGTGGATTTTGAAGACACTGCCACACGTGTCTGTCGGGCCAAGGTGAGTACACTGTGCACCTTAATATGCACAAGCTAATTCTCCAGCTATAGGTACTGCTTAGCATGGAGACAGCCCAAGATATGAAGAAGGGTCCCCTGACAGAGAGTATAGAATAATGTTTCAAATCTGCAAAAGATAGAGGAAAAGTGTGTACCATCAACCTCAACAATGCAATTTAACCAAGGTTTATAGCAATACAGCTATAGGCAAGTATATTTCCTAGAGGTTAATAAAGCAGACCAAAGAAAGACTTTTGTACAGCCCACTGTTATTTAAACATATTAAGTGTGGTCCGCAGTGGCAATTTCTCCTCTTGTTTGTATAATCAATCCTTCAGTTGTCCAGGAAGGACCCATAGCAAAAAAGATATTCAGAAATTAATTACTTTGCTATAACAATTCCTGCTCTTTTTGTTCCTACTCTGTATTACTGCAGAAAGTGCATAATTCAAAACTACTGACATTCATGATAGTTTATCCAATATATTTATGAAGGTTTTCTAAATGCAAAATCAAATTTGTCTTGTAAATGTACTTTTCTAAAATCAGAATCCTTACTTTAGTATCTGCGTTTGGCGGTGGACTCGAAGCAAGAGGCCATTCTTCACCTCATGTTGAAAGAGTGGCAGATGGAGAGGCCCAAGTTGCTGCTGAGTGTCTACGGAGGCTCCAAGAACTTCTCCCTGAGTCCCAAAGTGGAGCAGGCATTCAGCAAAGGCCTGATGACAGCAGCTCTTAGTACAGGGGCGTGGATACTCACCAATGGCATTAATACAGGTATGTATAATACGTTAAAGAATGTACAGAGCTTTTACTATGTTCTTCCTTAAGGGTATGTTTGTCTTACATCTTATTACTCAAAGAACACTATTCCATATTTTTCACTATTACTACGCTTATGTGATTTGATGTGGTTAGTTGTAGAAAAAAAAAAAAATTGTCAATGTCAAAACTTTTTTTTACTGACTGAAACATGTGTAGGTGTGTCCAAGTATGTCGGTGAGGCAGTGAAAATGTATGGAGGTCACGACTTGAGGAAGAGAAACACTGTTGGAATCACACCATGGGGAGTAATTGACAACAGTGCAGACCTAATTGGCCGAGATGTATGGGCCCAAATCTTAAAAAGCTCCACTTTCTAATTTGATGTTAGATTGCAATAAATAATAAATTGTGCTATTATTATGTGCAGGTGTTTAGGCCCTATCAGCCACTTGGAAACCCTCTAGGTAAACGTGTCTGTCTAAATGGTTTTCACTCACATTTCCTGTTTGTGGATGATGGGACACTTGGAAAACATGGCTGCCAACAAAGTCTGAGGAGAAAGCTAGAGAAACACATCAATTTCCTAAAGATTCACCCGCGTAAGTGCCTCTTTTCATGGAAATGGTTCTGTGTGTTATTGTGAAATTTTAGAAGAAAGCAGCCGAGAAGCTATCAATGGATGCTAATGTTTAGTTAATGAATAGTTAGTTAATAATTATTAATAGTTAATTAAAAGTTTGATTTGCATGTTTCACATCCTGTGTTGTCGCTATAGGACTAAACTTCGGGGTACCTGTGGTGTGTGTGATTTTGGAAGGGGGTCCTGCTGTAATTTCCACTGTTTTGCACTACGTTAGCAGTGTCCCCCCAGTCCCAGTGTTTGTGTTTGAAGGATCAGGCCGTGCTGCTGACCTGCTAGCCTTCTTACACAAGCAGACTGCTACTCACAAGTACTTTCTCTCTGTTGGCCCTATGACTGTAATTTTCATGTTACATTCAAATATTATAATTATATTATGTTTTAGTGAACTGGAGGCTGATATTAAAGATGACTTCCTCATGAAGATTGGACAGGTGTTTGCGGTTGATCAGTCAGAGGCCTCTCAACTTTACTCACTGCTTCTGCAATGTATGGATCACAGGCAGTGTGTAAGGCAAAACTATATTATTTATTATTTACTGTATGTACAATTAAAATTCATATTACAGTGAATATATTTTTCATATTAAAGGTGTTTTTAGTTGAGAGTCCGTCACCTGCTTGTTTCTATGGATAGGTCATTGCTCTGTTGGGAATTTTCCACAGTATGATATTAAACAGCTATACTTCACATTTATTCAATTATGTGACTTTATAACTCAAAAATACCTTGAAAAACAGCCATTCTAATTATGAGCGGGGTTGCTTCTTCACAGGTCTGATCTGTAATCTGGCCTAGTTTGGTCTCCAGGAAAATAGAAAGGTTTCATACCATACTGTGAAACATTCCAGACGAAGCAATAACATCTCCATGGCGAAAAGCATATGACAGACCCCCCACCAAAAAAGTTACACAATTCACCTTTAATTTACATTTTTAGATAACAGTCTATGACTCTGAATCAGAAGACCATGTTGGTCCAGATGCTGCCATTTTAACGGCCACAATGAAGGGTATCTGTTCTACAGTTTTCTCTCAGAAGATTATTTTAAGATAAGTTTTTACTTCTTAATTGTTGTCTCAAAGGTACCAAGGCCAGCCCTGCAGAGCAGCTGAGTATGGCCCTGGCCTGGGACAGGGCTGATATTGCACGGAAAGATGTTTTGGTTTATGGGCATCATTGGAAGGTCAGATTTAGTACTTCTGTTCTAGGTTATTGTGTATATAACAGACATATAACTGAGTAAAGAATGAGCTAACTATCATACCAATTTCTAATAATTATTTCAGGAGGGGTCATTGGAGCAGACCATGCTGGATGCGCTGGTGATGGACCGTGTCAGTTTTGTCAAACTCCTCATTGATTATGGGATGACAATGAACCGCTTTCTCACTATTGATACCCTAGAGGAGCTCTACAACACAGTTAGTATTATGCAGTTCGATTCACAGTATGACATGTTCATGATAGACTACCTCACCATTATTTATTAGTTGACATAATTAATCATAATTCGTTGTTATTATGTGAAGAAATAGCCTATATTCTTTCTTTGCAGCATACCCAAGGGCAAATAAAACGTTTTTTTCATCATCTTGTGGAAGATGTGAAGCAAGTGAGACAAACTGTGCAATTTTTTTAATTTAACTGTAAATATCTAGATTTTGTACATACTTCTAGACTTCTTTGCCATTGACATACCGTCTCTCCATCGTTGATATGGGCCTGGTAATCGAGTATTTGATTGGAGGAGCTTATCGCAGTTCCTACACCAGGAAACACTTCAGGGCTGCATACAACCATCTACGGAGCAAGGTTTTGATAAAGGTTTAAAGGTCAAAACTAAAATGAGAATATTAACTAAATAAATAATTCCTATATATGTATTTTGGATTTATAAAAGGGGGCTCGGCAGGGCAGCTCAGCCTCACTGTTCAAACAACACCAGGGACAGGGACCACTTCAAACAAGAAGTTCTCAAAACCTTCATTTCTTTAGAACTGCTCAGCCATATAAACACAAGGTAAGTTTATTATAATAAGTAATGGTCTACTTTATGTTTATTGTGTATTGAATTAATCAGTTATTCAATTTCTGTTACAGCTTGTATTAACTTTGTATGTTTGTACTTTTTTGTAATAGGAGTCCGATGTTTTACCGGGATTCAGTCAAGAAATTCCTCATCCTCCTATTCTTGGTAACAGTCCTCTGCTCATTTCTTTTAACTTCAATGACCTGTTTGTGTGGGCAGTACTGCAGCAGCGACAGCAGATGGCACTGTTTCTCTGGCAACATGGTGAAGAGGCCCTTGCACGTGCTACAGTGGCCTGCAAGCTCTACCGCTCCATGGCCACAGAGGCACGGCTGAGCAGCATGGATGACAACATTTCCGAACGTTTCAGGGCATACTCACTGTGAGCAAATGGATTTTTAAATGGCTTTAAAGATAGATAGTAGGTTGGGTTCAGAATCTGGCATTCAATATTGTAAAATTTTGAGATGGATTGCACATTTTGAAAGAAATATTGAAAACTTAAAAAAATGTTTTTGATTGGATCTACATACACACAATACTAATCTTGCTCCTCCACTTGCCAACAAGCACACATGTATATAGCCTTGCTAATTACAAAGTTAAAACTGAGTTTTACAGTATATTTTACTCTATTTTTCAGAGCTCTTTAGAACTACTCAATGTTCATTTTATAAGTAAATTACATCCTCTCCATGAGGATAAATCTCAACCATAATATTATGTATGGCATGTCTAATGTTAAATGTTTGAGAGCCTTGAACTTGATGAACACACATAATGAAAACCATCTTTCTCTTGTTCATGTCTCAGGGAGTTTGGTCAGCTGGCTGTGGATGTGTTAGACTGTGCATTTCGTCAGAATGAGCAGATGGCCATGAAGTTGCTGACATCGGAGATGGAGGGGTGGAGCCACTTCACCTGTCTGCAAATGGCTGTCTCATCTGGACACCGGCCGTTTGTGTCACACTCTTGCACCCAGACCCTCCTCACTGACCTCTGGACTGGCTCTCTCAACATGCGCAAAAACTCTTTTCTCAAGGTACAGTGTGTAGCATATCTGGCATTATAAGTTTGAGTCATCAGTCGATGTTTTTATTACACAGGAGTTATTTACTGCTTAAAAGACATTTAGATCATGCAAACTCAGCAAATGAGATAACATTATTGTTACCATGATTTAATAAGAAGCCAAATTGCACTGCACATGTATAATCATCTTGAATAAAGTCTCTTGCTTACCACACTTTCACCATTCTAAAATAATACAGTGCTTTCTGTCTGTCCTCTCTCTAATAGGGCAAATACATATTCATCCTTTTTAACCTTAAATATGACTCTTTTCTTTTTCCAGATAATACTGAGTCTTCTTCTGCCGCCTTTTATCCTGATATTGGAGTTTAAAAGCAAAGCTGAAATGTGCCATGTGCCACAGTCCCATGAGGCCATGTTGTTTGAGCACGACTCTGTGGATTCTTTGGAGATAAACAAGGGAGCAGATGACATGGTGAAATGCTTTAGTTAGGCCTCTGTATCCTGGCTGCAAAAATCAAATGCTCAAGTGTCGCAGTTATCACCCTCTTATGTTTTTCAGGGCAGTGATGATGTAGAGAGCTCTGTATCTTTCCATGACAGATGTCTTGGTCCATTTTCTGAAACAGTCTCCTCACTGTCTAACCAGTGCCTGTCCTGGGTCACGCGGATTTACAAATTTTACACCGCTCCTGTTGTCAAGTTCTGGTTTCACACTGTAGGGCTTTTTAAATATAATTGCAATATGCACATTTACAGCTCATTGGTTAACTTTTTATTAGCTTTCTTTTGTAGATGTCATATTTGGCATTTCTAATGTTGTTCTCCTATACTGTCCTGGTCAAAATGAGTGACCAACCAAGTGTTCAGGAGTGGCTGGTTATAGCATTTGTGTTTTCTACTGTGCTGGAAAAAATCAGAGAGGTAAGTTATTTCTGATACTGAGTAGTATGTATGTATGTGCTAAAAATGTGTTATGTTTTAGGTGTTCATGTCTGAGCCAAGGAAACTGAGTCAGAAGCTGAAGATTTGGTTTTCTGAATACTGGAACATATCCGATTTCATTGCCATCATCCTCTTTGTGTTTGGTTTTCTGCTGCGCTGGTACTCTGAGCCTTATCTAACAGCTGGGCGCATCTGCTATTGCCTGGACATCATCTTCTGGTTTATCCGAGTGATGGATCTCCTGGCTGTCAATCAACATGCAGGCCCTTACCTCACCATGATCACTAAAATGGTGTGCTAATTTCTGTGTTTTACATGCAGCTAGTATATTTTTGCGCATGCTAATGCAGTATATATCATGTAGTCATTTATTTAAACCTTAGCAATTTAAAATGCATCAACGCATTATAGTCCAGCTACATCTTCATAGCAGTGCAATAGTACTACCTTAAAAAGTTAAACCATGAGAGCAAAAGATATAATTTTTGAGAAAAGTCTTCAATTGAGTAGATTATTCAGTTCTGTCCTTTTCTTTGCAGACACGAAACATGTTTTTCATTGTTGTTATCATGGCGATTGTGCTGCTGAGTTTTGGAGTGTCCAGAAAATCCATTCTATCCCCAAACGAGGAACCGTCCTGGAGCCTGGCCCGGGACGTTGTGTTTCAGCCATACTGGATGATCTATGGAGAGGTCTACGCAGGAGAAGTTGATAGTTAGTATTTTTTTTTCCCCAGAGCAATATTACAAGTAAAATTATAACATAATTTTATGTGATTTATCCTTAGCATGTGCTGATGGTATGCCATGTGCCCCTGCCTCCTTTCTTACCCCGTTCCTCCAGGCTGTCTACATGTTTGTGCAATACATCATCATGGTCAACATCCTCATTGCATTTTTCAAGTAAGTATCTTTTACAAATATGCTGCTAGTATTCAAAAGGAACAAACCAGTTTATTTCATTTTAGCAACGTCTATTTTGATATGGCTTCAACATCAAACAAGCTATGGAGGTACAATCGTTACCGCTATATAATGACATATCAAGACAGACCGTGGCTTCCTCCGCCACTTATTTTTTTCAGTCACTTGGCTCTAGTTTTGAAGGCTGTCTATAAGAGACTGAAAGGAGATGCAGAGAAAGAAGAGAGGGGCTCTGGACTGAGTGAGTTGTTTGTGGCTATGTTGATATACTGTACTTATAACACATTCATTTTAATAATATCAATAATTTATATTTATATATAATAATATCTGTGCCTCACGTTTCCAGAGCTCTACTTGAGTTCTGAATGTAGAAAAAAGCTGCATGAATTTGAAGAGAAATGTGTTGAGGCATATTTTTTGGAGAAAAAGCGGGACCTCAGGGATCAGACAGTTGCAATCAAAGCCACAGCGGAGAGGTTTGTGTTCTGATTCAGTTCTTATTTTGCTCTAGAGTAAAAGTCAAAGAGTTTGGAAGCTTGTTCCTAATAAAAACAGAAATTCTTAATTTAACTTACAGAGCAGATGAGATGGTCATGACGGTTTGGGATGTCTCAGATAAGGTCCACTCCATTCAGGACAGTTTATCAGAGTTGGATGTTCAGCTGGGACAACTGCAAGATCTGTCTGCTCTGGCTGTGGACACTTTAACGTTGCTCTCTGCCTCAGACTGCCTGCATCAGGAGGAGGCACGTTTAGGGCAGTGTCAGTCACTCACATCATCCTGCTTTGTCGTGCCCCACAGCTGCAGCCTGCCACAAACAAATGACACAGACCTGCTCTACTATAAATCCTGTAAAAGCACACCATCATCACTGTTAAAGGACTGTAATGTTGCAGCTGGACGGCGTATTTCACTAGACTCTCATGGAGGAGTGAGAGGATGCAGAAGAGGACACACAAATAGGGTATTGCAGTTAACTCTTAAACTATACAATGCAGGTTTGTACTGATGCTGCACTTATTGTACAGTTTTATTAGTTTATTTTAAGTATTTACGTGTTTGTTCCTCTATTTATGCCTGAGCACTTAATAGGCACCAGCACATGTTTTTCAAAAACAGTTCTTGTTTTATTAAGTTGAGGTTTACTATATCTAATTATATAGATTTTATGTTTTTGTCCCACAGGAGGTGTATTCTCCTCTGGCTTACCCCAGCAGTAGTAGAGAAAGTGTTAATCATCCCAAGGATCAAACTCCCAGTGATTCCCATGAACCATCTACCAGCACAGCTCCACTGTCACCCAATTTTTGTGACAGAGGATTTGGGAGACTTTGGACTCAGGAATCAAATACCAATCCTAAGGTAGAAGAAGACGAGCAAGAAACACAGGATAATGATGATTTCAAGTCTTCTAGCCAGGTTGAACTGTTATGTGAGGATAAAGACATTTCAGAAGGCTTAAGCAATCCAGCATTCTGTTCTGGGAGTAGCCATGCAAGTCCTCCGTCTTTACTCTCAAGTCAGTGGAAGTCTTCTGTCAAACACCTCAGATGGTCTCGGCTGTCCCGGGACCACCCCTATCAGTACTGTAGGTCTCTGTCTTCAAGTGTGGAGAACCTTACTTTCTCTGGAAAACTTCTAAATCAAAATCACAGCTCAATCCCTCATTTTGATGAACCACTGATGAAAGGCAAGAAGCTACAAGCCACTAGGGACAGGGGTGAGCTAGCATTTGTGTTTATGTGTTGTGTTTGTGTCTAATCCATACCCATACCCATTAAGCAATCCAGGTGTGCATGTATCATGTAGCCTTTGGGCAGGTGTTTCAAAACAAAAACGCAGCTCCTCTTGTTGTGTGTTGTATGTGCATACAGTACCTATTACTAAGCGTACATATTGCTGTATGTTTCTATTTTCTATTTGTTGTATGTTTCTATTTATTCTATTTGTGATTTCTCAATTTCTCATAGTATAATTTGTTTTAAAACAATTCAATTTTGGTGACTGATGCCATTTCTTTATGTTATCTTTGTTGATGATTGCCCTGTGGGGCCTCAGAGCCACTGCAGGAGGACCCCCAAAGGTTGTCCATAAAAAATATAGTTTGAAATGAACTTTACTTAATTAATAATACAATTTTACATAATTTGCTTCATTAACTTTAAATCAGTATTAAGCTCAGAGGAATGTACTGTTAACATTTGAGTATGTTTTGAATTGAGTATGTATTGTTACTGGGGGACCCAGTACATGTTTCAGATAAATAGGGAACTCTATAGACTTTGGAAACAACTGTGTTAGGATATACTGGTTATGTTCATGTTCAAATTGACTTTTATTGTTTCCTGCAGGCTGGTCAAAGTCCTCAAATTTTATTGAGGACATCGAGAGTAAAGGGCAATCACACCACAAGAAGACAGTCAAGATACAAGAAAGCCATCCCCACACTGTAAAATGGCACATGCTGTATGTAAATAGATGCAGTAGGTTTTACTAAGGTGTTTTATTTTGCAGGGCATGCAATCAGAATTATCTGAGGCATGGTGGAGAAGACGGCAAAGATATAAAGGAGAAGGCAGGTGTTGGTCTGCTTCAGCGAGCCTCAGTCAACTCAGTAAGGTTTTTGTAATCACACAATTATAATCATACAGTGACACAGTGAACAGGTATGACGGATACATCTTTTTTTCTTCAGATATCGAACCAATGGATTTCTTACAGAGGCAAATGGTAAATATTGTGTAAAAGTCATATTTACAGACATGTTTAGAATACTTACAGTAACTTTGCCTCCAGGATTTGTGGAGCCCCCCTCATTCGACCTGGAACAGTTGGACCAAATCTGTCAGGAGGTCTTCGTAAGTCTCGCTATTTAGTATGACAGTGAATTATGGAATCTTTCTAAACTAGCAAACTCAATCTCAATTTCAGTGTTCAGGGTGCCAGTGCTAATGAAGGTAGTTTATTATATGAACTAATTTGTTTTGTTGTGATGCAAATGTATTGACTGCTGTTCTTGCAGTTAGGACTTCTACATTTCAGTCCAGTGAAAATTTATATCCACATTATTCAGGTAATGGTATACAGTGGGTCTGATAGATTATTTCAAATGACATAATAGTTGTGAAGATTGCAATTATAACTGTTTTTATTTTACCATTGTATTTAAATGTACTTTTTTGTTAAACAGCGATGGAAAGAAACAATCTGATGCGACTGGCTCATGATATTCTTTTTACTCCGGTGTCTCTCATTGGTAAGGTTAAACTTGCTATTTATTTATGTTGTTTTACTTCAATAATTATTTACTTTACATAATACTCTGTATTAAAATTGCTCTTGGACCTAATGTGGTGTGGTGTCAGGAGGTGAGGAGGTGAGCATCTACTCTCTGATGGAGGAGCCTTCTGGCTCTGCAGGCTCTTGCACAGTTTCATCTTGGTCGTCCCAAGGCCTCTCTGCCATTTTGCAGCCCCTGTCCAGTGAAGAGGGGTCTCTCTATGGGGGTCTTCGTCAAGGCCGCAGAGTGCTGTGTACCTGGGCAGAGCAAGACGTTTTGAGGCCTGGACAGGTGTATGTGGTCAAAGCATTTCACCAAGAGGTTGTCCGCACCTGGCAAAAACACTTCCATGGCAGCACTGCTCTACAGCTTTGTTTAAGAGTGAGTGTGGACACTGCATCTTAATTAAATTAATAAAAGAAAAGTCTATTAAATCATATTTTGTTTGTTTTGGTCTAAAGGAAATCCAGCAACAAAGAGCTGCACAAAAGATGATTGAAGTTTTCAACCAGATCAAACCTGAAAGTATCAGCTACTCGCCACAGTGTGTATTCTGAGTTAATTTAATATTACTAATATTTTTTTGGTTTAAAATGTTTATTTTTTCTATAGGTTTTTAGATGTTATGCTTGTCCTCTGGCATTCAAATGGACAGTGGTTTACTATTGAGAGAAACTTACCGGGTGTTTTCAGAAAGTTCAACAACAACACTGGAGAAGAGATCATGCCTAGATGTTTTTTAGAAGAATTTCTATTGGCCTTTTCTCATTGGACATATGAATACTCTCGCAGAGAGATGCTAGTGCTCGATATACAAGGTGCTCGCAACATGACAGTACTCTCCACTAATATTTTTTCTGATGCATTCTATGTTCATTCTAACCTTAAAGTTCTTTTGAAAATACATATATCATAATTAAAAATCTGCTAAATTTTGTGCAAAAGCTGCATTTTAAAACAATAAGAGAACACTTTATAACTAGCCTTTGGCCATACAGTATTATTATACAAAGTGCCTGTCAGAATGGAGGGCATGTCTGCATGTCTATATTTAATATTTATTGTGATGTTGTTAATCTAGTCTGTGAAACTATTTGTTTTTGTCTTGACAGGAGTTGGTGAGGAACTGACAGATCCAACAGTCATCATGGCAGATAACCACAGGTGCAACATATGTCATGCCTGACCATCATTTTAATGGTGCTTCTCTGAAGTTGTTTGTCTGTGATGCCCTTGTAGCAGTGGCAGAGATGAAATGCTGTTTGGTGCAGATAACCTTGGGCAGACGGCCATCAGTGGCTTCCTTCATAAACACTCATGCAACACTTACTGCCGGACACTACGATTGTCAGGTGGGTTGTGTGTTTATGTGAAATCACAATAGGCTTGGGCGGTATACAGATTTTGATACCGTGAAACCGTCTCAGGATTTTACCAGGGTATACGGTAATACCGTATTACCAAAATGTTTTAGTGTAACTTTGGTAAACTACGAAGCCGCACCGCTGTACGGTGTATGCGTATGACCTGCAGACTTAGGGCGTGGCTCCACTGCACATGTATTTCACCCTATGTGAGAGTAAAATCTGCAGCTTTTGGACACGTAACTTTTAGAATGCATGAAAAGTGAATGAGGGCGGCTCCACTGTGCGCGCTAGACGTGTGTATGGAGCAGTACGTCATGCGTGAGTAGATTTCAGAAAATAGGATCCATCCTATTTCTTGAAGCTCTGTGCGAGCGTAGGTGCTTATCCCCATCAAAATACACAGAGAGCATGAATCTTTGGTTGTATTTGTGCGTTTACTATCAGCACAACGTCCTCCTGGGGCAATTCTGTGTTGTGTGAAAGAGCCCAGGTCCAGAAAGACTCTTAATAAGTGCTTTAAATTTACTTTTGAAATCCTCGCATTTGTCGTGGTCACCCTGTACACAAGGTAAATACAAGCCTGTTTAGCTGTTAGTTTCACTGTAGACCTGATACAATAGGCTAAACATGCCCAGTCAAGTTTGATCGTCTTTCCCATTGAGAAACACAGAGCCAGTGCTGCGCGTGTAGGTCCTGCTGCAGCTGCCGGTGGAGCCGCCTTTGCGTTGACGCGCAGCTGTGGTTTCGAGAGGTTATGCGCATAACCAGGACAACTTGATAGTGTTTGGTGTAAACTGGGACATTTCAGCATCATGAGGAAATGAAAATACAACCACACATTCATTTGTGCTGAGCAAACAAATTTAGGTATCAATAAATTATAATATATATCAGGTTCTTATGCGCTGCAGATTTTTTAATGACGGTAATGAAACTGATACTGTTGCTATTTTTGATACCGTGGTATACCGTAATACCGTATTACTACCCAACCCTACACAACAATCACAACATTTTAAAGAGACGATAATTTAAAAGTGAGCTGTAGGGAAAAGGGAGAATTAAATGTTAAATTGTCAAATGCAAATGTTTGAACCTGTTATATGATCAAAGGGTTATGTTGAGCGGTCAGATCGGTCAGATCCACTGACCCACAGGTTGGCTGATGTGATTCCAGCTCCCACAGATGAATGCTGCCGTTGTGTCTTTGGGCAAGACACTTAACCCACCTTGCCCACAGTGTCTGCGTACAATGGTGTGTGAATGTGTGAATGAATGGGTGAGTGGTTCCTTGTTGTAAAGCGCTTTGAGTACCTTGAAGGTGGAAAAGCGCTATAGAAAAAAAATTGACCATTATTTTTTTTACGTCTCTGTCAGCACAAATACAGATATTTGAAAATGGTAACTCAAACTTTGTTAATTTGCATTTGTAGAAAAGATGCAAAAACTTGTCCAATTTTGTGAGTATACCAAATCATTAAATCATTAATCATTAAAAACAGTAGTTTAATATCCAAAACAAAAATATTAACACGAGCGCTTACAGTATTTGTTTGTGGTATATTCTCCAAAGCTCCAGCTGCATTAAATAACTCCCTGTCTGGTCTTTATCATTAATACTTAAGTTCCATCTTTTTCACGTGTGTGTGTGTGTGTGAGCCGAAATGTCGCCTCTGTGTCGTCACTCGGGAGGCCTGCGTTGTCTCTGAAAATATTGGAGATAATTCCCAAAGAACTCTGAATGCAAACGGCATGCACCAACAGCCGACTAATTAAGCCGCCAATGTTGGTTTATTCCTATAACAACAGTGGTGTTGGGGGCTTGGGGGTGGGCCCTGTTTTGTGCGTTGTGCTTCGTGGCCTTTGATTAGATATTAATCATGTCTTTGTGCTGGCAATGTGCTGCTGAGACATTAGCTTTGATTAGCTATTAATTAACGTCTCTGGGTAGACACGGTACTGGCATCTAGAGGATAAACGCTTCGAAAGAAACTGTGCTCAAAAACAAACAGGCTCCACAAACAAACCCACAAATGCAAACATGCAGACTCAGTTGTTTTGATATTTCAAAGGTGCGTTGTGTTTCCTCTTCCTCTTCTTGTGTCCTCTCCAAGATTTATCTAACAAATCAAACCAAATTATTCATGCCAGATGCATGGACTTCCTCCCAGGCCTGTCAGTATTCTCTTTCTTGTGGTAATGATTGTGTTATTGGAGCGACATGTAGCTAACTGATGTTTCTGTTGTTCAGATTTAAGGAGGCATGCCACGGGCAGCACAGCAGAGTCGTAATCAGCAAATGAAGAAAACAGCATCCCTGGACTGGGACCCAACCTTTGACCAAGAATTAAGAGACGTAAGAATCTCATAGTCAAAAGTGCCCACTTAGTTACACAGTTATTTGAAAAATATACTACAAAATAATTGAATAATATGAGTTATTGTCACTTTTGACACGTTTATTCTATATAAAAAATCTAATACTTTATGTAAATCAGTTGATTCTTTCCCTGTAAATAAAAAAAAGCATGCATTGTATTTAAAAATGACTCAAAGCTGCACCCATAAAAGTTTTTTTTTATTTTTTCTTCCCACAACAAAATGTCTACAAAAGCGATAAAATATAGAATTTAACAAAAATCACTTCAGATCTTCACATTGTATTTTATCTCAAAGGAGGACCCGCAGGGCCCTGCATAGCTCCGAACTTCAACCCAGCTATTTTCTTATTTAAATCTGGATCTTTTTGACTCTTACATCACGCACAAACACACGCAATTTGATGCAAAATTAAACAGTTATGAAGTTACTTTTAGAGAGTTATAGTTCAGAGTCCAGCAGAGTCCCTTCAATGAATATATAAAAAAATGTTAAGTGTATTTCCAATACACCATTTTCTTGGAGTTCCCCTTTTTTGATTTTCAAGTAAATGCACACAGTAAAGCATCTACACCCTTCATTCGACCAGCCTTTCCTTCCCTCTCTAACTATGGCACTTTGAAAACAACACAAATGTCTGTTTTGTTTTTATTGTTTCTTTTGTTTATGTGTAAAAGATCTTCTGTAACCTTAGCACCTCATAGGTTCTTGTTACAGATTGCTACATTTTGTTTTATTTGCTCTCGCTTCGACGCAAAAACATTCGAAACAATAACTTAACACTTCTCAACACTACTCCAGTTGCACGCCTGTGTAATGCTTTTAGAAAGGTCACAAAGCACTGGTAAAATCATACATCATCTCACACACCCATTCGCACATTTTCTCAGGGCAAGGAAGAGAATGACCTGGGTGGAGCGGTGAGGGAGAAAAGTATTGTAAAGAGTATGGAAATGTGTGTTTCGAGTCACAGGATGTATCAATGACTGCCTTTATTGTGCGCTTTGTTTTTCTGTGTTTATGAAAACGTAAAGGCATGACTGCGTTCAGCCCTCACAATGAAGCTATACTCCTTAACATTCAAATATAATCGACCCCCTCCCGCTAAAGGATCTGGGTCTAGAATCCGGTTCAATAAGGCCAGTTCAGACAGGGCAAATAACAACTCACACATTCAAAGGGTTCAGGAGAAAATTCACCATTGAAATTGAGCAAGAAATTTGAAATTGTGTATAAATAGGAGCGTTTTATTAAAAAAAAGGTTCAGCTTTCAGCTCGTGAAAAAAAAAAAAGATTGCTATGAACTGACTGAATCGATCTGGAAATGGCCCTAAACCCGTGGCCCACCCTGTCAGTAACCCCATCCTCCCCATTATCATGAGAATAGAAATCACAAATAAGCCCCAAATGTTTCATAGCAATGAAACGTCATGCAAATAGAACAGAACAACAATAGGCTAATAGTAATAGAAGAATAGTAGTCATAATAAGAACAATAATAATAGTAAATAGTAATAAAATAAAAAATAATCTTACAATGCAAACATGACAGTAGTAAATGCCTCCATTTCTTATTGCTACAGTATCTTACTTACAGTGTTATGTTGCCACTCATTGCCAGCACTTCCTGTCTCTCAACCCCATCCCACCCCTTTGATTCACAGTCTAACAAGGAAAAAAAACACAAAAACATCATATTCGGAGCGAGAATTCACTGTCCCCATGTTGTTATGATTCACAGCTTACTATTGGACGCCTCTATTGTCCCGAGAGCAGCAAAACACACAGTACATGTTCAACTAGTGTTGACAAATGTGAGCAATTTTATGATCATTATATCTGCGCTATGAGCCAATGATAAAGAATAAGCAGACAGTGAATTCAGGCTCACTACAGACATACACACACACTTGTCAAAGCCTTGTCTGGGCATATTCCAATGTTGGTGCTGTACGCCATGTTTTTCCACAAAATTATTTCATTTATAATAATTTTTCCATGTAAATTTGCAAAAATATTTAACCCTCTCTTCATGCAAAGTGTGAAAAAGAGCTGCTCCCTGAGAGATGCTGAGTAGTGCATCAAGCTTTTTTATGAGCAAGTGATTGTCTTTAAGAGTCACTGGCCTCTGATCTGGGGTGAAAGGTCAAACTAATTAGATTCAATGTCTGTAAATGGTTAAAGAATTGGAACTGTGATTGTAATAGCATTAAAGGAAAAAAAATAAAAATAAACAAGTTGCATATTTTCAAAGCAAGTTGAATGTTTGGCCCCAGTGCAATACATATAATTGAAAAATGATAGCTCAGTCCCTGAAAAGACCTAGATCAAAATTGTGCTATTCAAGAAATAGACACTAAAAATATTATTCTACACAGGGAGTAATTTTGTCAATTTTTTTGAGCATTGTCTTTGAATATAGTATATTACATTTCAAAGTAATGCAAACTGAGCATAGAGGCTGAATGCAGAACAGCACATACCCAAAAATGGGATTATTAGATAGAATCAATCAGCAACCTTTAGCAGCAAATTACACAGTGGCCAAAAGCAATGCATAAAGATAAAACAGAAAAACATTTGAAATGATGTAATAAGTGCTATCATAGAAGGAATGCTACAGCATGCAGTGATGATTGTCTTGTCTCACAGTTTGTTAAATGGACATGTAATATTGCAGCCAGCCTTTGACAGCCAGTGTTCACATTTTGAAGGTGGTGGGTTGTCTCCTAACACAAGATCAAATAATACAAAATAACATGAATGCTCTTTTAAAGAGATCATTGGTGGAGTTAAGAGATAGTGCATTTTTGTTATAATTGCTACAACTTGAAGCAGAAGGGTAGAAGATCAGAAAGGCAGTGAGAGAAGTTATTGCTTTGTAGAAACAAAAGGGTCCTTCATTTTCAAAGCCCGGAGTGATTGACATCCAAGGACAAAATTGTGCAAAAGTGAAAAAAGTCATTAAGGTAATAAAAACTGACTATTTTAAATCACAAACTGTATTTATAGGCTATATTTTGTCTGGTTTGTCTGTTGGATGAGGGTTATCTGAAATATTATTAACTGAGGTCCTGTTTTGTGCCTGGTTTGATGATTGTTTTGATGATTGTTTCAAAGCAGTCCTGCTTGTACCAGCTTTATTGCAGCGTGAATAAGATTGATACAATGGCAAGTGTGCCATTTCTTTTTGCAAAATAGAATATTTCTGTATATATCTTCACCTTGAAAAGTCATTTTTAAAAATCCTTCATATTTTCTCTCTTTACAAGTCTATAACTTATTTAAAGGTTTAAGTACCTTCATTACATAATGAACAAAATCCAGACAAGGCTTCTCTATATATCAACAAACCTGAATCAATTCCCGGTTTTAACCCAGTATTCTTTTACAAGTCTTTACAAATTCTGTACACAAGTAACTATCAAATAAAATAAAACACATGGACATAATATCGCCAGCTACAACTGACAGCTGTATATTTAAATTAGGACTAAGTTACTTTAACAGAAGTAATACTGGAATCCACTCTGCTCTAGAAGAATATATCTACAGTTGCTTTTTCTAAATCCACAATTCCCTTCCCAGTCCGGCCTCTTCCTTCCAAAAAAAAATCCAACATAAAGATTTTTTTCAAAGTTAAAAGAAATTAACTTACCCATTTTTTCATTAAGCTTAAATTGTTCCTAGATTTTTTTTTTTTTAATAAGTCTGTACATTTCTTGTCAGTTCAGTTCATGAGACAGCCCCCCTTGTATTTTGTACTGTGTGGCTTGGGGGCATTGATTCATTAACTTCATTATATATACATTCTTTAGACTGTATCGGTGAACAAAATGGAGTAAGTGCTGGACATTCCTATAGTAGTTGGCGGTAAGTCTCTGGCAGGTGGTGCCTCCTCCTCTCCCCCTTCTAAAATATGCCACCCATATGACTTGGTAACATTGTTCATTGTCTTGCCTGAGGTGGCAGTAGTCTTGTTCTTGTATTGTTGCTCTTGGTGGCCCTCTGCTGGCAGCATGTGTCGCAGTGGGGCCACAGGTAGTCACTTGGGCATGGTCATGGTAGAGTTTGGGTCCGGGTTGAACAGTTCTTTGTAAAGAGGAGGGAACAGGACGTTGACGGTCTCAGGGTGGAGCTGCTGAAAAGCCTGCAGTTCCTCTGTGTGGAGTGTGCACAGGGCGGACAGTGTGGGGACACGGCTGATCAGCTGCACAGAAGAGAGAAACTATCAGTAAAAGTGCAGATATGGTTTCATGATTGATTGAAGATTTAGTTTATATTAATAGCCCTATAACACACCTAGTATTCATTTCATGGCATGCCATTTTCAATGTTTAAGAACAGCATTTTTCTTTTTATTACAGTAGTGACTTGGGGATGGGAATGGGATGAGAATTTAATCTCTACTACCATTTCATAATATAATTTTACTATATTTCATAATATAATTTTACTTTATTCAGCATTATAGAAACAAAATGATTAATTAATATTGTGATTGTGATCTAAAATAAAAATGAATGTCAATAAAAATGAAAATTACTTTTTAAAAAATTAACATTTCTCTATTTATTTCTCGATCTTAGTTCTTTTCAAGCAAAATAACTGATACCTTAGCTAATGCATCCTCATCCATGTGGTTCTTCTGCATTATGTGCTGCAAAGCAAAATATATTTTTTCCTGTAGCTTCTGAACTTTCCTGGGTTCCACCAGCCACGGCCGATCTGAGACATAAACAATGCTTATGGTTAGACCATGTATTTATCAAGAGCAATACTATAATTATTGCCTTTTTAGGTTGCATCTTTCAAGAGAGTTTTTAGGGCAAGCTTGTTCTTTTTATGTTCCCAAAATATTAGGAGGCTGCGCACTGACCTGTGGAAATGAGTACAGCAGCTGAAAACAGAGCGATCTCTTCCTCGGTGAGCTGCAGCGAGCACAAACTCTTGGCAAAGTCAAACACCGCACTCACTAAGTCGTCACAACCTTGGAGGAAGACGGCAGTGAAGGGCACACAAAAAGGAGAATGTCATTATTCTTTTTACAGCCATGTCTTTTGAGCAAAAAGAGCTAAAATTAACCAAGGGCATTTTTACTTTCATTTGGACATTGATAATATCCTGCAAATCTTACCTAGTGCTTTAAACATCTGCATCCCACCGTACTTCCCTTCAAAGAGGACAGTGTTGTTAAGAGGATTGAACGCTCTGCACATCCTGACCAGGACCACCTCCAAACAGCCTAAGACACAGTGCACATTATTTTATTTTAAAATATTTCTGATGAATGTGATGAATAGGTTTAGATTTACATTTGTATTTTTAATTCTCACCTGACTTTAGAAGCAGGATTTGATCGTTCTGGCACAGTTCCATGAACCCTGAGATGCGCTTGGCAAACTCCACAACGTACTGAATCGCATGGGTGATTTGGATGGCACACTGCTGCCACAGTACGTCCCGAGGCTAGAGGAAAAATATGTCCTTGTATTATAAAAAGATATTTATATAAAAGTAAACCCGCATGCATAAATTCCTATTTTGAAAAGTCAACAGCCACAAGAGATACTGTTTGTGCCAGTCTCAAGCCTGGACAATTTCAGAGTTCAGAAAGGTCACAAATTAAATGATACTACTACTACTACTATGCTGATCAATCCAAAAGGGAAGTAAAAAGACACTCAAATTAAACCAAAATCCTCACCTTGCTCTGGTACATCTTGACTTCTTCATAGGAGTGTGTCTGCCATGCCAACTGCTGCAGCTCATCTGACGTGTACTGACATGTTTCCAAGTGGGACTTTATGATATTCTGAGCAATGCGGTCTGCAACACAACACTTTATATTAGTGACAATAAGATGCTATGATCTCGTGCACAATATCTTCCTGATTATTAATTTTCATTATTCATTGCAATTTCCCATTGTGGAACAAATAAAAATTACCTTATCTTATTTAACACCACGTGTCTTACTCAGTTAATAGCCATCATGTATGTGCATCACATGATCTTCTTTACATTATATTTTCTACACAGTACCTTAAGATTTGAACTTTGTCTTATAGTATTGATATCCTTACCTAGCTCTCCCATGCTGACATTATTAGGTCCCAGTTGACTCTCCTGGTAGCCTCCATAGCTAAACAGGTTTGGGACAGGCGTGAGGTCATACACTGGCTCCTGTTTGATGTGCTTCATACCAGACATGTCCAGCCCTGATTGGTCGGGCGACGGCTGGGTGGAGTCCATGCCGTAGTATCCCGGGACACCTCCGTTTCCATGGCCACCCTTGGGCAGCTCTATGACATGACCATTTGCGTATGTGCCCCCAATCTCATGGTTGAGGGTGGACAGTCCATTGGTCAGACTGGAAGAGTAAACACGTGCAAGAGCTTCGGCCTCCCCAGTCTGCTGTTGCCGCTGCTCCTGAAGTCTCGCTTGGTGCTTCTGAACCTCTGCGTACAGGCTGTCACGCTGCTTTTTGGACATACGACCAAATTTTACAGCTATGTGAAAGAAAAAATGTGTTAAAACGGTTGCATATTGTACATTTAGAATTGAGATCATAGACAAATTTGGCGTCTGTATTTAAGTATTTGTTTAATTATTATTTTATTAGTGTACATCTTGAGAAGTAGACTGAATTTTGTAACTCTATTATTATAATTTTAGCTATGGAGATATATTTCACTTTTATTTTCATCTATGTCAATTTTCATGATTGCCTCTGGTTTAGATGATTGCTCTTTGAGTTTTTTTTTTTTTGTTTTTAAGACACACAGCACCCTCAGTTTCATTCTGAGAATTGTCCTACATTGTCACAATCTTGGTTTTAAAACCTATAGTATTTTAGTAAATTTCGTACCATCTCTGGACATTCCTAGGGCAAGACATTTTTGCAGGCGGCAGTGTTGGCAGCGGTTTCGGTTGGTTCTGTCAATGAGGCAGTTTCGCTGGCGAGGGCAGGAGTATGATGCGTTGTTCTGCTGACTACGTCTGAAGAAGCCCTGGTTAAAAATTCACAATGAACAGGATTGTTAAAGATTAGAGATTTACTTGTCAAACAGAATACATGTAAACTGTCAATGCTTTTAGTTGACCCAAACATATATCTGATTTTGAATTAGAGAAAGCAGATTTACATGAAATTTTCTCTCCCTACCTTGCATCCTTCACACGTGATGACCCCGTAGTGAATGCCTGATGATTTGTCTCCGCAGATTTTGCATGGTATGACTTCGATTTGGGCTGAAAGAAAAAAAGAACATCTTAAAAACTGAGGAACCCACAACAAAAGTGCTTGCTCACAGTTGGTGGGCCAATTTCAGGTTAAAAACATGGGACAAACACATGACCCTGTTGGATGTAGTAACAGCATTGTGGGTGTAGCTTGAGGAAACGACTTCACAAGGGCAGGCTGACATTCGTCCTCTCTTTGTGTCCTTGTGTGAGTGCCACACAACAGACACAAGTCAGAGGAGGCAGCTGCAAGTGTGAGTGTTACAGCTGAAGGACAGGCCCTTACAGGTTACAAAGGTTAAACTCATAATGAGAAGAAAAAAACTGTTACATCAGTAGTGCATTTCATTCCCATTTAGGCAGTTACTCCAACTCTACATTTTAAATATATTATCTGTTTTTGTAAATGTATGTAGTTTGTCCAGACTCAAACCAACAACATCAAAGCAATAAGGTATGAAATATGCTTGAGGACACTTCTGCTACAAGTATGACTAATGGTATTGTATAATCACTAGTATTAACTTTACTACTACCACACATAGTACAGACTTTTTCGTTCACAAATGCTTTCTCAATTTATTGTCTGTTTTTGCTATGTGTACAGCTTGCCTTCATCCTAAAATCCGTACTTACTGTGTATGGGCAGATCCATGTATAGTCACTAGCAAAGGCACAGAACATGAACAAACTAATACAAAGAAGCACCTGTCGCAGTTGTTTTTAATTGTCCATAATGTTGATAAATGAGGAGTGCAGCTGGGGTGTGAGAGGTAGTCAGGTATGTCTGCTGAGATGGCATACTGTCTATAAAGAGATTACACCGCCTTTCTAATCCTAAATTATTTCCCATCGCACAGTCTCTGTTGAGCCTGGCCTTAGCTACATCTGAAATAGCCATTCACTTCTAATCTCATTGTAGAAGTACAACTTTAGAAAATTCTTCAGCTTGTAACGAGTTCAAGCTGTATGTAAAACTATTCTGGCCAACAGGACGTAACTGTAAATGGGCATGCTCAGTGAAGGAATGAGTGTGCAAAATATGTTTAATTGGATAATCCTAGTATATCAGGATCAATAGAGACAATTATGTCTGTCTAAGCAACAGGACAGGTACTAACTACTACATGTTTGTTATCAAAGATAACACCACGACAATCAGTTGGCAGCAGGGGTGACAACTAGTCCTTCTATTTGTTGTCTACATGTCACAAATATTCTCAAGACCTAAATGCAAAAGTGTTGTGAGACGAAAATGTGAGAGTACCACGAAACTACACTTTCTTTAAACATTTAAGAAGACCAAATTGACTTTTTATTAGCATGCTTTCATTCTATGACACGTACATAATTCTTTTTAATATGACATTTTAAGAAAGCGCCATTATTACATAAACCTTAACATGTTATTGCATTCATGTTAGCAAATGACCTTTGCACTTGCTGGGGCGCAGCACTTTTAAAGTCTCCTTTTTATATATTTGGTGATTTATGGTGGGGCTTAAGACGTGACCCAGTTCTAGTGATTTCTACCCTACCGGCTCCAAACTGGGTCAGAGCACTGGACTGGGACGGGACTACGCACACACCGAGCTGTCAATGAATGGGGCCTGTATCAGGCTATTTATAGACAGTAAAAACAGGTCAGTTTCAGCCCGGATGTGATGCTTGACTATCAATACTCTACATACACAGTAAATATTCAAAATTGACTCAAGTTTTGGGCATTTCCAAAATTCTCGGTTGAACTGAATCAGAGCTAAGTAAGTCCAACCCACACCTGCCACAGTGCTATGAATATGCATACTAATTATTTAAAGTGGTTTGAACATTTGTTTTCCAGTTCTAGTGATTACAGTGTATCTCTTACTACATTTGGCTTACTGGATATTGTGTGCGCCTTTGCATCACATAACCAGGCCTAAAGCAGTCCGGCATGTGGGCATTGTTTTATTGTTCTCCCAAGCTTGTTTTTCAGGACTCGAGTAAGCATCTCTCCTCTTCATTTTAAGCCACCCAGCTAAAGACTAAGTACAAAAATAAAAATGTTAGCAAAATGTGAATATATTCTACTGTACGAGTGTGTGGGTGGTGTTTTGTGTATTGTTCAGGGGTGTGTGCTGTGCCTTTTGCCGATGGGGACTGTCAGGTAGGATATAGGAAGATGGTCATGACAGCATCGAGGTTGCCAGGACGACCACCCACTCGAGGATGTCGTCTGGCTGCCACGGCGATGATGTGCTAAGCTGTCACATGCTAACAGGAAGTGATGTCATGGCTTACAGTTCATCCAACTCCCACTTCCTCATGCACTTGACAGTGTGCGCTTGCAGCATTTTTAAATTTTAGCTGGAGCAGAGAATTATGGGAAAATAAACAGTCATTGGTGTTTGAATAGTTGATAATGGAAGGATTTAAACTTAAATATTATAGTTAAAGTTTTCCTTTCTGTCACTTTTTCTTTGCTTACCTTTGGTTACCATGGCAAATCATATGCACTGCCTCCTAGCAAAAGGTTCACTAATGCCAGATGCCCTTCCCGATAAGCCCCACTATAATAACTTGGATATGGCATAAAGAATATATAGGCTTATAATTTTGTGGTATCAGTTGTGGTAGTGATGTAAAATAAGAGCAGAATTTAAAATGTGGAAAAAAGCATGTATTTTTTGGACATATATTAACCTCTCGCTTTATTTATATGTATAATAATGTCATAGAAAACCTGATTTGACCCAGTATGTCTGAGTGAGTGACAGGTTATTATGTAAGACTGCAAGGCTGGCACTTCTCAGCTAAGAGAAGGATCAGGACAATCTCTGGAGAGAACGTGACAAAGACAGATAACTCCAACTAACATTAAAATAACACAGACATATTTTGAAGTTGTACAAATGGTTGGAAATACCATGAGGGTTTGCCCACGTGAATGTGTGAGTGATTGGGTCCACGAGGGTTGTGTTGCACTGGCACGTGTGTTATCATAATTGATTTTTAATGAAGTAAGAATCTCCTGTGTATTACTTAGGCTGGCCCTCTCTCTAAATAGAGCCCTAATTATCCATCTACATAGCACCGCAGCAGCCAACACTGATATCAGAGCAACACTTCAACAGCAGTGGCTTTTGTAAGGCTTCATGGTACTATTAAAGGTTACGATGACGCATTAAGAGTCAATGACAATCTTGTCAATAAAAGGAGAAAATTATGTAGGAACAAATTAGGGCCACTAGGTGATGCTAGAATTTTTTCTTTTTACTTATTATTACTCTCTAAATTGATGTTTGCCTCTCACATATGATTCTTATTAACTTAATCTGAACTTCTGCTTTGCTTAATTTGACCTAAACACGTTCATCATATTCAGAAGTGGCGAAAAATTCGATAAAATATAGGTTTCTGCACGGCATAAAAAATCGACACAGCGCCACCTGGAAAAAAAATTTTGCAAACGTCCCGGTCAACTTTGTCGTAAACGAAATTCGGTACCACATTCATCATGTAAGACAAACAAAAATTTAATGGCCACGCCCCCTGACAAACCAGAAGGCGGCCATTTGGATTGAAAGTCCGCATTTTCGTGTCATTGCTTTGAACGAACTCCTCTGAAGGCGCTTCACCCACATGAAAATACCGTACATCATCTATGGAACATCTAAAGTTAGCTGATTTTTTGATAACTGTTTTACGTGCGGCGATTTCAAAAATTTCTAATTTCAAGTGACATTATTTGTTCCTGTTCCACATTATCCGACAAATTTGAATCACTATGTGTGATCAGTCTGAATATAATACACTATAAACATGTGATGAACACTATAGCGCCCCTATAGACAACATTTCAGATCTGCACCAAATTTGGGAATTAAATTCTATGCATGATAACGAGCAAAAATTATATTATGGACATGATACATTTTGATGCAAAGACTCAAAAATTTGGCGCCTATGGGAACGTGTCAACTTTGTCATAGAGCATGAAATTCTACATACATTTGTCATGTCAAGACAAACAAAAAATTTATTATGGCCACGCCCCTGACAAACCAGAAGGCGGCCATTTGGATTGAATTTAGTCATTTTCGTGATTGCGTTTGAACAACTCCTCTGAAGGCGCTTCACCCACAGGCTGAAAATCACGTACATCATCTACAGAAGTGGAACATCTAAAGTTAGCTGATTTTTTTTGATAACTGTCATTTAAATAAAATAATTTCATGAAATTTGCTCCTGTATTTAATAAATTTGAATTAATGTGTGATCTCAGTCTGAATATAATACACTATAAACATATGAAAAAACTATAGCGCCCTATAGACATGAAACATAACATTGTCGGATTTGACCAAATTTGGGAATTCATATTAATGATAGAAGAAAAAACATATATTACTGACATGGGAATTTTTCAAGGTTGGCCAAGGGGGGCAAAGAACATTACTATGTCATTTCGCCATTTGCAGGCACAGAGTTTGCGGGCACGGCGTTTAGGGTATGGTGTTGGCGGGGAGCAACATTTGCGGGCGTGGCGTTCGCGGGCGCGGCAGGCGAGGGCCGTTCGACGCCGCTTGCGGCTTTAATTACTTATTATTACTCTCTAAATTGATGTTTGCCTTCACATATGATTCTTATTAACTTAATCTGAACACATGGTGCTGTGTAATAGTGGATTTAAAAAAAAAAATTCTTCCTTTTTAATAATTTTATGTTTTTGTCTCTTCACTAATAGCATTATACATTATCTTTTATTCATGTTGTGATTTACATATACATTTGGATGTCTGATTTTCCAATTCTGGAAATGGCTCAATATTGTTACCGTTTGACTAAAGCATTAAAAAAATTACAAAATGAATTCATTCTGATAACATAAAGATGTTATGCGTAATAAATAAAATAAATAAATGTATTACTATTAGAATTTCATAATATTTTAGTTAATCCATGTTTCAGTTTCTTTCTGCATTATAGTCTTAATGTAGTAATAGTAGTTAAAGTAGTGTATGGAC